TATTTTTTGTCTAATTTTTAACATTCATGGTGTTGCAAACATTACAAAGCATTTCTGTTCTGATCCCAGTCTCCTGGTTCCAAAACTAAACCAGCAAGTTTTTAAAAAATAAAATATATCAAATATGAGTGAAGTAATGCTAGGGTGAGTGGGTTATATAGTTGGAATATGTGGTTAGGCAGACTGGGGTAAGCTGGTCCTATACTTATTACATATTTTTATTTTACACATATCTATGCCACCTACATATTTTTATTCTACATCCACCTGTGCTAACCTACATATTTTTATTCTACAACCAACTGTGCTAACCTACATATTTTTTTATTTTACACCCACCTGTGCTAATCTACATATTTTTATTTTACACCCACCTGTACTAACCTTCATGTTTTAATTCTATATGCACCTGTGATTATCTACATATTAATAGTAATTTATTGTATAGTTAATTATGAAAAATGTTTCCAGCAAATTTATAACAGATTTGATTATTCAGGTTATTTATAGTTATATTATAGTATAAATAATATTTTAGATACAACCCCTGTTCAAATTGTTCCTTCTATTTCTCCTACTGCTCAACCAGGTTTGTTAGTTTTTATAGTGAAGCGGCCAGGTTTGTTTAATTTTTTAAATTAAAGCATTGCTCATTGGTTAGCAAACTTAAGTAAATAGTATTCTGTATATTGTTTTATTTTAAGATTAGCATTTTATTATATATGATTTAAGTCTATAATAACTTACAATTTATTCAAATTTTATTTTAAAAAACTGTTTGATCCTGTTTCTATAATATTTTTTATTGAAAATAAAAAGTTTTTAGTTGTAAAATAAATTTTATGTTAATAAAATAATTAAGAAGCAGAAAAGTCACACAAGCAACTACAATCACTATCGCGATTTTGCAAATTCTTGTAATTTTATGTCAGGTTATCCTGCTACTGGTAACATGTAACTCTGTACAACCTGCTGCATATCCTGCTGCCTTGTAGGATACACTTTTTTAGCCAAAAGCTAGGAGAAACCAACTCTGACTTAAAACACCGCCTGCTTTGGGGTTCTTAATTGAGTAAAAGCTAAAGATAATGTCTTGATAAAAATACTCATCTTGGGCAGATGTTAACTGCATCTGGCTATTGTCTTGTAGAACGCCGCTTAGGCAAAGACTTAAGGGCTAAGCAGATTCTATCTGTCGACCAGCCTCGCACCCCTTCTTCATCTATTAGGCTGGCGCAGATGTATTTATAATGCATTTCTTTCAGTTTAGGATGTTTAATGCTGGATCTTCTTGATTCAATGCATGGTTTTTCATTGTCTCTGTTTTTATGACTTAACTCATTCTATTATCTCCGAATGAGGGTACAGCTCTAAAACTCAGTTTTATGATTCTGAAGCCGCCTGATAGTCAGGTTTCCCGAACTCTGTGGTAGCTCTCAGACAGGCTAATTCCATCAACAGCTATAAAATATCAGAGTACTAACAGTGCCATATTGGGCATAGATGGTGTCCCTATTCGTACCTTTATTGTGCATTGTTGAGGCCACATTTGGAACCCTTTGTTACCACTTAGGGTTTATTAATGTAATGAGACAATTACTTGTACTATTAAATAGTGTACCGAATTCTATGTATGTTTTAAGTACCATAAACTATAAAACACAAAAAACCATCGTTATCACCAAGTTCTCTAAATCTATCATTTACTAATATTAAATGTGGCCTTCGAAGTAACATTTCTTCTGTTGAGACCTACTTGCTTTTTGTGAGGCTAATTTGAGTTCGGCTGTCTCATCTTGAGATCTCAGTGTTGATGGTTATCATCCTTTAATTTCTAAAGACTTCAATAGTCGCATGTTTGGCCTGGGTATTTACATTCTTAAGAATTCACCCATTTATTAGGAAACTAGGTTAGAATCCACAGACTATTCTTTTATGTGCTTTTGTTCAGCATCACTTCACTATCACTTTTCTAATTGTTCTACTTCACTCTCCTGCATCTCAAGACTGCACTCATTTCAATGTTATTTCTAATTAAATCAAACAAGTCTTTTCTCTTTATCCTTTGGTCAATATCATTGTTGTAGGTGACTTTAATGGTCATCACACTAAATGGCTTGGCTCTACTTTCATTTACTCTTCAGGCATTAAAACACACAAATTTTGCCTTTCTTAATCTCTAACACAAATTGTCAACTTTCTAACTCGTTTTCCAGATGACCCAAATCATTTATGATCCTTGTCAGTGTTCAGTTTTTTCACATTCAGCCTTAAGCTATTTTGATCACAGTTTGATCACTTTAAAACTATCTCATTCTTCTTCATCATCAGAATCCCCCGATCATTGTTCCACTTACAACTACCTTAAAGCTGATTGAGGCTCATTTGGTGATTTTCTTTGTGATGGTCCTTAGGTAAAAATCTTTTGTCTTCTTGCTGATGAATGTGCTTTTTACATAACTTCTTGGATTCAGACTGACATGGAATCTTTTACAACTTTATGCTGCTGCAATTTTTAATCGAAACCATTATTTCCTTATTCATAATAAGGAAATTATTATATTCCCCAGAAAACAGATGTCTTTTTACTATTGCTAGAAACCATTGTAAAAAGGTTTTGTCTAACACCAAAGCCTGCTATTTTCAGGTCATGAAATTTTGTATTTCATTTCAAAAATTAGGCTCTCGTGACTTCTAAGTATCAATAATAAGAGCAAATCTGTTATTCCACCTCTCTTTTATGGTTCAGATTTTTTCCCCTCGCCTAAAGACAAGGCTGAACTGCTTGCTAAGAAATTCTAATCAATATCACCTCTTGATTACACTAGTTGCGTTGTACCTGATATAGCCGACACACAGGTTATGGTTAGGTCTATTGCTTGACTTTTTTATCACTCCAGATTCTGTATCCAAAGTAATTTCCTGCCTAGACTTGTCTACAACTTGTGGTCTGGATAATAACAGTCTTGCTCTCTGGAGCAAGACTGTTATTATCCAAAACTTGAAGCTTTATGTCATTTGAAAAGGTTTTCATGCATTCACAAAATTCATTTACAACTTCTGAAATATGGACCATGTCGTGAGTTTCATTATTAATTTTTGTTATTTAATTTAATGTTATTAATATGTAATAATGTGTAAGTATATTATTAATAAATGATAATAATGACATACTTTTATTATTCTGATGGAATGACATTGCCTTTTTAGGAAAAAGTTTTCTCTTGCAAACAAACTCATCACCTCTTACTCTTACTTTTTTCAAGACATTCCTTTCCCATAAATCTTTGTTTTCTTTACGTTTTTTACCAACGTTGTCCTCATTATCCTCTATCACTTACTATTATAATAGTAATATAGAATGAATAGTGATGTGCTCGACAAGTCATCTAGCCTTCATCTTATAGGATCAACTCTTACTTCTGATCTTTCTTGGAAACCATATATCAAATCCATTGCAAAATTAAAAAACTACTTTCAAAACTGTTTAACAAGTGTTTATCAGAGTCTTGCCAAATTCCATCCAGCTGGAAACTGGCAGCTGTTATCCCAATTTTTAAAAATTCTGCAGATGGAACTGACTTATCTAACTATCGTTCCATTAATCTTCTTCCTATCATATGCAAGGTTTTTGAGTCTTTAATTAACAAACACTTAATCTATCATCTTGAATCTAATTACTTTCTGATCATCAATATAGATTTTGATCTTCTCATTCTATTGCTGATTGGTTAAAAATAATAACTGATGGGTTTTATTGTGCATTAGATAGATGTAGAGAGGCTAAGGCTATCACTCTTAACATTTCTTAAATTTTTGATAAATTTTGTATGCTGGTCTTCCCCATAAGCTTTTTTTTTAAGATGTATCAGATAACATCTTTATCTTATTGAGTCCTTCCTTACCAATCTGATTGCATGGAGGGGGCATTTGAGCTTGAAAAGGATCTCACTTCTGCTATAGCATTGAGCTCACAGTGGCTTGTGAACTTTGACTTAGATAAAACAAATTGTTACCGCAATAATTTAGATCTTTCTTATATATATGAATAGTGATGTGCTCGACAAGTCATCTAGCCTTCATCTTATAGGATCAACTCTTACTTCTGATCTTTCTTGGAAACCATATATCAAATCCATTGCAAAATTAGCATCTGCTAAGGTTGCATCTTTTTATCGTGTTTGACACTGTCTTACTCTGGATTCTATTCTTGATCTATTATATGTCAAATCTACCCTTGTATGGAATACTGTTGCCATATCTGGGGTGGATCTTCAAATAATGCTCTTTCCCTTTTCGAAAAGGTGCAAAAACTTATTATAAACAAAGTTGGACCTGCTCTTACAGCCAACCTTCAACCATTACCAGATTGTCGTAATGTTGCTTCTCTTTCTCTTTTTTACAAATACTATAATGGACACTGCTCTAAAGAGCTAGCATCCCTTGTGCCATCTACTTAAGTTAATTTTCGTGTTACTCATCATTCAATTAAGTCTCATCCTTTTACTGTGACTGTTCCTAATGCTCCAAAAACTCTTATTCATTTTTTTTTCCCCTCGAATATCAGTTCTTTGGAATTCGCTCACTTCATCTGGCTTTCCCGATTCATATAATTTGCAATATTTTAACTTGTCTATTGATCGTTATCTTGCTCTATAAACTTCATCTTTTCTCTTCCAGTAACTTCCAACTCTAATAGTGGTTGTTTGCAGCCTTGTTGGAAGCAAAAAAGGTTTAAAAGGTTTGAAAGAGGTTTGGGGTTGAAAAAAATAAAAAGACAATTTTAAGGATTTAAAAATAAAAATTAGTTTTGTAAAAATTAAAAAAAAGTTTTTATTCTAAGTTTTAGTTTTTTTCTCTTTATTACAACCCAAGTCTGTTTAGATTCTGGTTATTGCGAAAATGATTGGACTTTATACGGAAGCAAGTGTTATTTTATTAAGTATGGACCTGGAAATAGACTTCAGTTCAAAGATGCAGAGGAGCTTTGTCGTTCAATGAATGCTACTTTGACTTCAGTTCATTCAGAGTATGAATCTTTTGTTTAGTCTTTTTAATTAATTAAAAAAATATAATAAAATATCATAAAATTATAATGAAAATATAATAAAAGACTAATAAAATATCATAAAATTAAAATAAATTGCAAAAATTTACTAAAATTATATTAAAATTTTTTCTACACTTTTTATTATAAAAAGGCTTTACAATAAAAGTTTTTATATAGTTATTAGTCAAACAGTTCTAATATTTAAAAACCTTGATAATTTAGTTTTTATTTTAAAATTTAAAATTAATTTACTTTAAATGTTAGAATTTTTGATAAAAGTTAATGATTCATAACATTCAGGTAAAAAAGTTTAATGAACTAGGCTAAAAAGACTGAATGGTTAAGGGAAAAATGACATTATATATAAATATATAGTATGTTATATTATATATATGTATATATATATATATATATATATATATATATATATATATATATATATATATATATATATATATATATATATATATATATATATATGTATATATATATATATATATATATATATATATATATATATGTATATATATATATATATATATATATATGTATATATATATATATATATTTATATATATATATATATGTATATATATATATATATATATATATATATATGTATATATATATATATATATTTATATATATATATATATATGTATTTATATATATATATATTTATATATATATATATATATATATATTTATATATATATATATATATATATATATATATATTTATATAAATATATATTTATATATATATATATTTATATATATATATATTTATATATATATATATTTATATATATATATATATATATATATATATATATATATTATATATATATATATATATATATATATATATATATATATATATATATATATATATATATATATGTATATATATATATATATATATATATGTATATACATTTATATATATGCGTCCAATTATGTCTGGAAACAAAAACACCTTAAAAAATTTGCTCATGCGTGAGAGTTATTAGCTAACAATATAGCTTTACTATTTTTAACTCAATATATATTTATCAAAAGGTTTTAAATTTATTTTTTTAATCTTTTGGTGTTAGCAAGTTATTTTCCTTAATATCTTTAGAAAAAATGCATAAATATGTGAACTCCTGCATAACAATTTTTAACTTTACATGGACAATTTTCATCTGTACAAAGTAATGCACCTACCTTTTGTTATATCTAACAATTTGTCAAGCTTACCTTACCACAATTCGCCCATTTTTTCTTTTGCTTCTTTTCGACCGGAAATGTCTCTAAATTTATTCCGGTTAAAATTATATTTGACAGCATTTTTTAGGATAATTACAGTGGCCTATAACAAAACATTGGATTAAGACCATCGTTTCAATACCAAGTTTGCTAATATCACCAAGATTTTTTTTTATAAAATATTTAATTTAAACAGTTATAAAATTTAATATTTCCTACCCAGTGGGCACTGGATGTCCAACAGTGGATATCTAGACTACTTATGGTTGTCATATGAATGTCATCAGACATATTGTGTTAGGTTTCTATTTAAGGACATCTTGTTTCACTTGGTTTTTACTTTTTTAAATTTAATTTTAAATTTTTTTCCTTTTTTTCAAATTTACTTTTCAATATCATATCAAAAAAGCCAAAAAAGCAAATTTTCCAAGAACATGAAGAAATTTCTGTTGTACATCTCTAAGTTTAGGAAGTTTCCAATTAATTTTTTCCTTCTTCAAGATGTTAAGTTAAATTAGTTATAGAAGGATGTCTAGTTTGTTTTAATTTTGAACTCTCCATAACAAAATATTTAATATTATTTGTTATTCACTGTAAAACAAAAACAACTGTACTCAAAAACCACAAGAAAAATTCAATAAAAATTGCAACTTTTTATATCGCAGACACAGTCGAATCCACTGCTCACACAAAAGCAAATAGTAACTAAGTAAATCAAGTACTTAGTAACTGTGTTCTAGAATTTATTGATAACAATTACAAATGGACTTTAAAATTTCTAAGACAGTAAAGTTTTATTATATCTAACTAATAAAAAAAACAATTACCACAAAACCATTTACCACATTTACAAGCCATTGATAATTTAAAGAGTCTTTTTCGTGAAATTTACCGCATTCGCAAGTCATGGGTTGAATATTTTATGTGGCTTTCAATGATGGACAAAGTATGCATTTAACATAAGCTCTTCAGCCTTAATTAAATCTGTTCTTTTACCAACCGGGTGTTTCTATTTACACGGTCATTAAAAGTGGTTATTATATATTTTTGATCTGCTTGTTTTTGTTTTAATGTTCTTTTTTCTGTCATACATTTAATTACTGTAATTTTTTGTATTTGTAAATTTAACATATCTTCCAATTCTATTTCCATAATGTACTTTAATAAAAATATATAAGTATTTAGTTAAATAACACATATTTAACATGTATAATTAAAATCCAATTTTACCAAAATTTTAGAAATTTAAAAACAATAAATAAGTTTTTGTTGTATTCTTTCATATTCTAATAAATTTTGTTTTTTATAGAATATGAAAAAATATTGTCTTTTCAATGTGAATAATAAACTTTAAAATCTTAAATTTTAACCTTAAAATTTGATAAGAATTTGACTTTGAAATTTTATTTTTAAGTACACATCTGAAATAACAAAAGGTCCAAAATATGCACAACTGACATTATAACTAGGTGTTAAAAAGATTTTATTTATCATGAATTCTTCTTTTTTTTTTTGTATTAAACTTGATAAAACTATATTAAAATATATATAAGTACATTAAAAGTAAAGATACTGATATCAATCTGGTTTTTAATTATTTAAAAAAAATGTAATTATCAAGATATTAAAGAAGTTATGACTAAAAATATATGTTATTCCATTCTATGATAGCTACTTGACATTTAACAAAAAAGTTTTAGCTGGAAAAATTTCTTTTTTTAAAAGTTGAAAGTTAGTTTTGTTTATTAATATATTTGGTGTTTGTTTTATATCCATTGTTTGAAATTATTCAAATTTCAAACAATTGATAAAAGGAATTACTACTTTTTAACAAATAAAAAACATTTAATAAAAATTCCATTTTTTTAGATCTTTTTTTTTTTGTTTGTTTATTCAATATGGTGGTTTTTTTGAATTTATAAAATAATAAATATTGCAAACAGAAGCTGTCTATTAATAAATGTCTTTTAAATGACAAAACAGATGTTGAAAGATCGAAAGGTTATAGACCAAGAAACAAAAGCATTGTTTAAAAATAAAAGAAAGAAAAGTTGTTGAAGTAGAGTGTGTTGAAGTGAAGTTGTTGTAGAGAAAAATAAAGATTGAACTTAAAATGTTTAATTGTTACTTTAATTAAACAACTTTGATAATGTTTATTGTCTTGGTCATTCAGTCGTTTGGTCTCGGTCATTCTTGGTCATTGGCTTATTTAGTATATAGTATAAGTTATAAAGTAAAATAAAGTTTAAAAAAAAACTTTTTTAACAAACTATAAAATTAATATTTTTTGAACATTAATGAATTTTAGATTTGAGCATTCTTTTTTACTAAGTCAACTGTATGACGCACATGAGTCAGTATACATTGGGTTGTCCGATCAACAAATAGAAAGGACCTTTCTTTGGAATGATCAGTCATCTGTCGACTACACTAACTGGTATTACAATCAACCAGATTCGTTTGGTAAAGAAGATTGTGTAGAAATGATGCCTTTTTTTAAAGAACAAGGTGGATGGAATGATATACACTGTGAAAAAGAAAATGGCTATATATGCAGTAAAAGTAAAATAATATTTTTCAAAATTGCTACTTTAAAAAAAACAATTTTTGTTAGTTTATTTTTATAATTTTTAAAGTTTTTTTATTTGTCTACTATGTTTTTTTATTTGTGTTATTATTATGTTTGCTTATTGTAGATTTTTTAAATTTTTATAACTTATATTTTATTAGAATCTCTACCATCACAACCAACTAATTCAACTACTACAGGTAGAAAAGCTTTTTAAAATAATATTTGAAATATTATTTTTTTTATTCTACAATTTTTTATTTAATTTAAATTGTTAAATTAAATAGGTTTTTTTATTTTCATAAAATCCTGATTTTTTCCATTTTTATGAAATACAAGTATCTCCGAAAATATCTTGTCCAGAAGGTTATAAATTGTATCAAACATCATGCTACAAGTATGTAGCTTCTCCTATGTCATGGGACGGGGCTTGGAATGAATGCAAAAAAGTTGATTCTAGTGATCTTGTATCTGTTCATAGTCCATTTGAACAAGGTAAAGTTTATTTTTTAAAAAATGTTTTTTTAAATTGTTAGTTATGTTGATTATATCAATGTCACTAGTATCATTTTCAATAATATTTGTGTCATTGCATCATGCATAATTGCAAATAACAGTTTCACGAATATTTAACAGTATAATGTATTCAAACTTAGGTTTCTTGACAAGTTTCTATGGTGAAAGATCAGCACAGTTTTGGATTGGATTGCACAAACGCATTGGTGAAGATCAACTCCATTGGACAGATAACAGTCATCTTGATTTCTATAATTGGCAAAATTTTCAACAACCTTTTGTACCTAAAAATGAAGAAAGATGTATCATTCACCAATACAAAGCTAACCAGAAAGGAACATGGACTAATCAGAATTGCTTAGGATTGTTTCCGTTTGTATGTAAGATAACTAATGAGGAGAGCAAAGGAAAACCAGAGTTTAAAGGAAATTGTTCCATTGGTTGGACTAAATATAACAATTTGTGTTACAAATTATTCTCTGATTATAGTGATAGAGCCTCTTGGCCTGAAGCACGTGAGCGTTGCTCTATTTATGGTGGCAACTTAGCAACAATTCCCTCTGATGATATACAAAAACAGCTTCGTAGCATGGTTCGCAATAGCTATACTAGTGTTTGGATCGGTTAGATTTTTGTTTTTATAAAATTTTCTTGTTAAACATATTTTAAATTATTTTATTTCAATAAACTTTTTGTTCAACAAAATTGTTGATTTGTTGTGGTTTTGTTGTGCCAGGTAAATGGGTTTAATGTTTCATTCTGGTTTTCCAGTATCATTTTGGTTTATAGTTAATTTAAAAACACAATTTAATTGTTATGTAAAAATTTTTTTATTCAAAGCATAAAAAGTTTTGATGTTTTTTTATGGTTTTTATTAAATCATGGGTAGTTTTGAAACAGGTATTTTTTGCAGTAAATACTTTTATTAAAGGTTCTTTTTAAATAATTATTTTATAAAGGCTTGAATGACCAAGCAGAAGAACATAGTTTTAAATGGAGCAATGGAGAAATTATATTTCCAAGTTCATACACAAACTGGGCCCAAGGTGAGCCTAATGATGTTGAAGGTACAGAAAATTGTGTGGAGATTTCAACAAGTAGTGGTCAATGGAATGATAATCAATGCAGTTCTCAACAAAGTTTTTTATGTGAACATACTTTAGGTAATTTTGTTATTACAAAAAATATAAATATTAACTAGTTTTTTCCAACTAGTAATTTTAAGTTTATTTAAGTTTTTTTTCATGTTTTTCAACTTTTTATTATATTTAAATGCTAGTTTATTTAACTTTAAAAATAGCCTAAAAAATGATTAATCAGAAATAAGTTGGGTGCGCTAATTTTAAAGAACTATGCACACTTTTAAAGCATGTACACAAAATAAATGTGAAAGAATAAATATGTCATTTTTTTAGTGGTTGTATTAATGCATTTAAAATTGTGTTTCTATTTTGTTTAAAAAATGTTGCAGTTTCAAAAAATGTTTTAGTTTTCGCATTTAACCTAAAATTAGTTTTAAAAATTACAAAAGAAGAAGTTAGAGAAAATATTTATGTACAAGTATTTGAAAAATCTGAACAGAAACTGCTACAATTGAATGAGTTGCAAATATGTACTTGCACTCTTAGTCATTATTTAAAGTTTAAACAAAATTGATTGAAATCAAATTTGGTAGTGGGAAAAAAAATTTTTTCAAGATAAAAAAGTGATTAACCCAAGAAAACTGGTATCAAGATTAACCTGAGTGTCCTACTAAGAAAACAAACAAAAAGATTTTCAAAAAAACATTTTCTTAAAGTTTTGTTGTGAAAGTTCCAAATTACACTTAATAGCTGTTGAAGCTTTATTTACCTTAAGTTAGTTTACTATATAGCAGCCTGTGAACACACAATTTTTTCTACTCACTTAAATGCCAATAGGCAGCAAACTCTCTCAAACTTATTCAACCCATGCTCATTAAATGACAGTCATAATTGAGACAGTATGGTGAGAAGTTTGTGCATCTCAAATAGGTTATACTCAATATATGTAAGCTTTAATTTGTTTTTTTTATGCTGTTTACTTTTTTAACTTATAAAATTTTACTGTTTTAATTTATAAAATGTTTAACTATTCCTTATTAATATTTTATTTGCATAAAAATATATATATTTCAGGACTTAAATTAAGCTTATCGTGATTGCTTTTCACACCTTCGCAATAAGTTTTTTCTTAAAAAAAACATTTTCATGATTTTTTTTTTGTTTTGTTTTTTTTTTCGTTAATTTTTTTTCTTTTCTAATTTATTGAATTTGAACTTATACTTATGTTATTAATAGTACAGTAGATTAAAAAACAGTAAATTATAAAAAATTTTGTATATAATGTTTTTTTGCTTTGATCTTACTCATAGACTCATAAAAGTTTACAGTTTTATGACAATAATGTTTTAATTTATTAATTAGAACAATTCTATTTATTTACTTCGTTTTATTGGGTTTTAATGGGTTTATTAAGGTTATAAACTGTTTTATTTTAAATGCGTTTATTAAGGTTATAACTGTATGTAAGGTTATAACTGTATAAAACAGCAATAAAACAGCGTCACAAAGTTGTTTTACATTAGCACAAGCTCTTTATATAGCTAAAATCATTTTGCAGTTCATCTTATTGTTGTTTTAAATCTTTTTATTATAACAATTAAAAATGATGTTTTATCGTCAGCATACATATTAAATAGTATTAAAGTGGTTTAAATATTGTAATGTTTGGGGTTTTTACTCATACTTTTTTACTTTTACTTTTTTAAATATCATGTTTAGTAAAAACAACTGCTAAAAGTCTTAATAGTATTAAATAAGTTACTTGCTCATTACACTATAACTGCAACTTAAACTTTAAATAATAACTTAAGCTGTAAATTGTACCAGCTGTAAATTGTAACTATTTAAATTTTGCCAAACGAGAAAATTTTAAGATAATATTTAAACATGAGAGATATGTTAAAAAAATAACAATTTCAAACTAATGTACAAAAGATGCAATTTTATACTAATGCAACCCCCTACGCAAGGTATTTGTGTGGGCAAATTTTTTTGCGTTAATTTGAGCCCTGTATTTTTTTGTTTAAAATCATATCTGCTCTTAATACTTCATTTTGGAAGTTTCTAAACAACTATGAATTCCTTAGCTATCTTTGTGGTATTTTTACCATTTCAAATCAGAGGCATTAATACATTTGTAAGTATATCTTGATGATAAAGACAAATTCAGGTCCCAAAAAACAAAGTGTGCAAATAATGAGTTTTTGGATGTCGACCAAAAGAACCAATATCTTGCCATAAATTTTTATAAATGTTATGAATGTTATGATTTGTTTCATCAGTATTTTTATGATATTCTTATGTTATATTTATTGATTTATAAATTAATTTTAATTTTATGTGTATTTATTGGTTTATAAATTATTTATAAATAATTATTAAAGTATTTTTTGTTTATGAAGAATGCATAGATGATCTTGGAATGGTTAGTCAAGGCATACCTGATTCAAATATCAATGCAACATCATATGTTAACGGATCTTTACCTTATTTTGCAAGACTAAATTATAAACATAATAATAAAGATGCTGCATGGTGTACTGACATTAAAGATGGAAAACAATCAATTACTGTAAATAAGTTATAATACATTATTAGATGTATGTATGTATGTATGTATGTATGTATGTATGTATGTATGTATGTATGTATGTATGTATGTATGTATGTATGTATGTATGTATGTATGTATGTGTGTGTTTGGATGCATGCATGCATGCATTAAATTTTTTATGTTTTTAGATTAACCTGGGAGAATATATGACTGTCACCAGAATTAATATTCAAGGTTTATTGAACTCTGGTTATGTGATTTTGTATCAATTAGAATACAGTTTAGATGGAGTTAGTTGGAATGTTTATTTAGATAAAGACAGCGCAGATTCTAAGGTAAATATGAACATATATATACACATATATAAAGTTATACATGTATTTTTAAGAAAAAACTCTTGACATGTTAAGTAGTTACATATTGAATTTTTAAAAGATTTAACTTACAATAAAAACTCTGGTATATGAAATTTAAGATTGAACTTATTACAAAAAGTAATAATGGAAAAAAAAATTATTACAAATTAATAAATTTATATTACAATTTATGACATGGTAAGTGACCAAAAATAATATAATTAATTAACAAACTAGATAGATAAATTTACAATATGGTAACATGTTTTTTTATTTAATGAAGGATTTTTTCATTTAATATAAGGCACTTTTATTTTTAATTTATTTTTAATGGTCACAGTATCCAAATTTTTAAAACAATTATAATTAGTTTTGTTTTTACTATAATCAGATGAATTGAATTATTTATAAACAATAGATTGTTATTTGTAATATGTTTACTTATCATTTTTGTCAAATGTCTGGAGTGTCTTCTGGAGTGATTTGTATATATTTTATAGGATTTATATATATATTATAGGTTTTATATATATATATATATATATATATATATATATATATATATATATATATATATATATATATATATATATATATATATTATAGGATTTATATACATATATTATAGGATTTATATATGTATTATAGGATTTATATATATATTATAGAATTTATATATATATATTATAGGATTTATATATATATTGTAGTATTTATATATATGTATTATAGGATTTATATATATATTATAGAATTTATATATATATATTATAGGATTTATATATATATTATAGGATTTATATATATACTAGCAGTCAGCAACCCGTAATACGGGTTATTAGTAATTAAATAATTGCTTACAGTTAACAACAAAAAAGGCTACGCTATCATCAGTTAAGTTCTTTTTAAAATCTGTTACAACACAGCAGGTACCATAAAAAGAAAGTCAAGTAAAGCCTTCCAATGCCTAAAAAAAGCAACGAAAAATAATTACAATTTTTAATTACAAAGTATTATTTGCATTTTATTGTTGGTAGAATGAAGATATAAAGACTTTAAAAAATTGCTGTAATAGCCCAGTTCTATCAACACAAAACACATTAACAATAGCGCATAGCATAAGATATTTGTAAGCACACATTACTGTCTCTCCAAAATGATTAAAAAAGAAAAGATTATATAAAGGCTAGACAACTTAACGTAGTAAATAACGTAATAACGTATAACACCACAAATTAAGATATTTTATCAACTAAAATACTTGAGCTAAAAAGATTTTATTGATTACAATATTGAATAATTTTATCATAAAATACCAAACAGCTCATAAAATTTTTTTATATACATGGTCATTATCAATTGTGGCATTAATAAAACTTATATAATTACTTTTTTTTAACTAAAAAGTAATTATATAAGTTTTATTGATGCTCCATGTACTAATTCTCTTTTAACTCTTATCTAAGAGTAAACAAAATTATTTTTACCTTTATTATGTAAAGTTCCAGCTTCTCTTTAACTGTCAACTAATGATTAATAGAGTAAATTTCATATCATTAAATTTACAAAATTAAAACCATGTTTCAACAGTAAGCAAACTAATCAAGTGATAACAAAGGCAACTAAAAAAAAAGAACATAATTACGTTTGAATTTATAAAAAAATTAAAACTATTTGATTTAAATTGTTTTAAAGTGTTTATAATAAAATCTAATAAACACATTAACACGGCTTGACACTGAATTCTTGCAAGTAAGTTTTCTGCTTGCCTAGCAGCATTTCTTATATTTCAACAACTTTTTTTTTAATTTTATTTTAGGTGCTCCAAGAAGTCCTCAAGGTCTTATCACAGAGCACCGTGGATAAGCATTTAATAGGAAGTTCACGCCTTCTTATTGATGTAAATAAATTTTTATTTTTATTTTTCGATAAAAGTTGTCTATCAAAAATAAAAATTTATTTACATCAATAAATTGTAATTTAACAAAGAATCTAGACAACAATACATAATCTAAAAGTGTAAAAAATGAAGTAATATCACTCAATATATTTTACTCCAAAGTAATTAAAAAAAACCTATTAAACCTATTAAATCTAATGAAAGTATTAAATAAAAAAATATAGCAAACTTACTAAAATCAGTACCAGTTCTACTGCCTAAAAACTTTTATTATTAACCCTTCTAATAGTAATAAAAAAATAAAAACAAAGTTATCTGAAGTTACTAAAAATCACTTCACCTATTTTTTTTGTTTAGGTAAATTGTCCAACTAAAAGTCTATAACTATAATACTGAGATAATGTAACATGATTTCTAATCAATGTAGCATGTTCAGGGTTGTGAACCAATTTGATTGTAGCACGTTCAGGGTTGTGAACCAATTGATTATGCCAGCCAGCATCACCCCTTAGAAAAAATAGAGAGAACAAACCATAGGCTCTAATTTGGCAGACATACTTGATATATTTTAAGAGGATGACCTCTTGGGAAAATAACAACTTCACTGGAAGTAGGTGGAGCACCATCTTCACCGAAAAAATACAACTGCAACTTCATTGTGTGAAGGGAGATTATAGTGACGTCTATCGTGCCCTTTTTTCTCCCTATTTCAGTTCAAAGTATTTGCTGCTTGCCGAGCAGGATATCTAGCATTTGGTTGATTATTAATTTCATCCCGCCTCAGCCTATTTCTTGCATTTCTGTGACAACTATTTTCAACCTGCCTAATCACACTGTCCTCATTTTGATTTAAATTATTTGCGGCTTACCATGCAACATATCTAGCATTTTGTTGATTATTAATTTCATCTCGCCTCAGCCTATTTCTTGCATTTCTGCGACGACTATTTTCAACTTGCTTATTAACATTTCCATCATTTTCTAAACTAATAGCCACTTCTAGCCTTATATCATCCATTTAAACTTCACTTTTAATTGATAGTAGTAACAAAAAATCTGGAAAGAATCTTGAAGATTGTGATTTTTTTTTTTTTACTTCTCTAAATTGCACACACACAAAGAATAATTTTTAAAACATTACATAGGAAATTTTCATTTAAAATAAACCAAATTATACAACAATATTGTGAGTTTTTTATAAAAACATTTTTATAAATATATCCGTTAAAAGATGTTTAAACAAAAAATAAACTTATAAATATAATGTAAATAAAAAAATTAACCAATAGTAATAAAAAAATAATAATAATAATAAAAATTTTAATGATAAAGGGTTTTTCTAAATTCTAAAGAAAAGAAAAAAAATTTAACAGCATCACTGAAATGCCAATAATATAATAAGCAACATGACAAAGTTTATCAAAGATTAATTATCTGTTTTTTTTATTACTTAATCTTTTTTCCAATATTTTATATTATTTATTACACATTAAAATCAGAAGATTAACTTTATTAAAGCTTTACATAAGTTAAAGGCTAAATAAACACTAAATTATTAAATTCAAAACAATCAAAAGAAATAAAATCTGCTGGAAATCAATAAATTAGTTTAAAATTATAACTTAAAAATATTACAAATTTAAATGTGATTTTTGTTATAGTTAATAAATTGCTGCAGTACATTTTTTCAAAACTGATTAACTGATATGGTATATATTTGAAGCAATATAATAGCCATTGTGAATCAAAAATTAAAGTAATAAAAACTATAAATAATAATCTAAACAAATACTAAAAAAATAAAAACAAACATAATTTAGAATAAATATATTTTTTTAATGAAAATAAAAACCAAGGAAAAAACAGCAACAAAAAAATTGTTAATATCTTCAATGATTGAAGATATTGAAAATTTTTTTGTTGCTATTTTTTACTTGGTGCCTCCCAGCACCCCTGTATGGATGAGCCCTCCATTTGAAAGAGGGCTTATCCATACCATTATTACTGCAACATTTGTTAAAGGACCTCTCAGAGAGTGGTCCTGGGTGCTGGGAGCAATATAGTCTGTAGCTACTCCAATTTAGATCTAAAGAAAAAATAATAATATAATAAAAAATAGATATTTGCATTAAAAATAATAAAATAAAAACTTCTAATATAGAAAAATTAAAAAAAAAACGTAGTAAAACCCTTTTAAGCAAACTTCAATATTATTTATTTGAAAAAAATATTAGTAAAAATTTTTTAAAAGTTCACAAAACTTAACAATATTTTGTTCTTCTATACCACATAAATACATCATTTAATAAATAAAAAATGTAACAAATAAGTAAATAAGAAAAAAATTACATACAAAAAAAAGAAATCATTGTACCTGATAAAGCTGATGTGATTTACCAGAGTAGTAGTAGAAGGCTTTTAGTGAATCTAAATATTAATTTTAGTGAATGGTTAAATGCAGTGAGGTCTAATAATGAAATTAACTATGTATCATTTTTAACAGTAGACAACAACTTGAAGGTAAACCAAATGTATATCAACTCAAAAGATTACAAAAAAACAACATCATAACAACAATAGCATTCACCATAAGTTCATATAATATGCATATAACATAACTTAAGAAACATAACATTCATATATAACAGAACATCAGTAACAACATTATGCAAAATGTTATTAAAATACATTATGTATTTTCAGATTAATTATTAAAAAAGGCTTGAAAACACCTAGACCTAAAGCAGTAACAGTTTGACACGAAACACTGCTTTGTAACCCTTTGCATCAAGTGACTTGGCTGGCAAGGTTGACAAATCTCGCTTTACACGTTTACCAATTCACAGCACTTTGAAAACATGGAAATAACATAATATAAACATATAAACCAACTATAAACACAATATATATATATATATATATATATATATATATATATATATATATATATATATATATATATATATATATATATATATATATATATATATATATATATATATATATATATATATATATGTATATATATATATATATATATATATTTACATACATATTTAAACACATTTATAAAACAGTTATATAACTAATATTACCACATACACAAACAATAAAAAAATATGTTACATTATTATAAAAACACATTGATAAAAAAGCTATAAAGCACATTTTACAATATACACATAATTATCATAAAAACAATGCAAACAAAAAACATATAACTTGAATTGTGCAAACAAAAATTTTTAAAATGGTTTGAGAAAGTTTTAAAAGATTCAAAGTAAACAAAATATTTATATACAAACAATACTCATTACCTTTTTTCATAAGAACTGTAATTCTCATAACAAAAATTTAATCTTTACATACAATAACATGTCAGTGTTGGCATGAAATTTTAATTTATTTTTCTAAATTTTCTAAAAAAGAGCAAAAACAGTTAATAGCATCACAGAAATTTCATGGTAGTAATAAACAATTTTATTGAAATAGCATTAGTACAACTTTTTTGTTGCATAAAAAATAAATAGACCTCATCCATACCTCTATCTTCCTTCTAAAAAATAGAAGATATGCTCAATTAAAACAAAACTGCTAGAAAAAAAATAAAGACAAAAGAAAATCTAAAACAAACAAAATGTAAATGATTTACAAAAATAAAAGGAGTTATCCTTTCTACTTAATTTCTAATAAAAATGTTATATATAAATTGCTTAACTAATTTCTACACTTACTTCAATTATAATATGATCTTAACGATAATTATTTATCTTAATATGATTCTTTAAGTAAACAAAATCAAACGCAGTTTCAAATTTTATATATATATATATATATATATATATATATATATATATATATATATATATATATATATATGATAGAAATCTCTACAATTTCATCTGTTCAACAACTGAATTATGATTTATCACAACTCTGGAAAATTTTCTTTTAATTTAAGTCTAAATAAATAAACAAATTATAAATAGAAATGGTAGGAAATGCTTACTGCTAGTATTTTTAGCATCTAAATAACTAAACAAAATAAACATAAATAAAAATGTAAGCAAATGTTTGCTGCAAATAAACAAACTACAATATCATAAAATAAAATAAACAAACATACAATATCAAATTTATATTTATGAACAAAATTCATTTAGTTAAATATAAAATATAAAAGCTTATTAAATATAAAAGCTTTCCTCGTGTAATTTCAAGTTTCAAAACTGTTTGTAATAGAGTATTTTACAGAATACAGAACCGTTACTTATATCGAACAATAGTAACTAACGGCATTGAACATTGAACATTGAACATTAAACATTGAACATTGACTTCTAGCAATTATATTGTAGATTATAGGATTTATATATATGTTATAGGATTTATATATATATTATAGGATTTATATATATATTATAGGATTTATATATATATTATAGGATTTATATATATATATATATATATATATATATATATATATATATATATATATATATATATATATATATATATATATATATATATATATATATATATATATATATATATATATATAATATTTTGTCAAATATTTTTTTTTCAAAAGTTATGTTGGGTCTCAAATGAAGCAAAGTTATATAAAAATTTTAAAAATATGAATCATTTTATAAATAAATTATTATTTTGGATTTTAGTAAATAAAAAATGACATTTTTTTACTTTTAACAAAATGAGGAAGTTTAACAAGATTTTTTTAATTATAATTTTTTTTTCTAGATATTTTTTCTAAAATATCTAATTTATAATTAATAATTAAATAAATTAATAATTATTTTTGAAATTTTTACACAATTTTACTTTTGAAAAGCTATTTTTTTCAATAAAATTAGGGACCTGTTTGATGTTCAAGGGTCTTGTAATACCCCTAAAAAAATTTTTATTTAAAATGTTTTTAAATAAAAATTTAAATAGTATTATTTTATTATATAGAACAATTTAAAGGGTGTCAGCAGACATTTTCAAAAGAAGTTGTTTTTAACACCACCCTAATAATAATAATGTTTATAAACAATATTTTTTCTAATTTAATCTTTTATATTCAGAGATTTAAAGTAATTAGTTATGATGTTTTTAAATTTAATTCAATTTAGTTAATACCGGCAAACAGTAATGGTAACAATATTGATGGCCATAAAGTTATGATAGAAACTCTTTTTGTTCGAATAACACCGAAGAAGTTTTATGGTAATTTGATTTGCATGAGATTGGAATTCTTTGGTTGTAAGTCAGGTAAGGTTTCTTTTCTTAAAAGCTGAACGTATATCAGGGCTTGCAATATTTAAAGTTGCAAAAAAGAAAATTACCTAGTGTGTTATTTTGCGCTCATAAAGTTATAAATAATGTCCACAAGAGCGATTATAAGATTTTAAAGTTGGTGGAGACTGTGCTCATAAAAAGTCTCTATTTGTTTCTATTTCTTTCATTGAAAAATGTTTTAAAGTAGTATCTAAAACAGCCCACTCATGACACTATGTCATGAAAAAACATGAAACTATGTCAACAAAGTAGCTCTTTATATTTCCCAACTTCTTGTATATTATTAATTTTTTAATTGGTGAAATAAATTTTTTCAAAATAAGTTTATATTTAGTTGACATGTGATACATATCTTAATTAAATCATAACAAAAGAAAATTAAACAACAATTATTTTGTTCGAAAAAAGATTCGGTTTATTATGGTTAGATTAATTCTTGGTATGTTATTATGATTAAATTTATTAAACAACAAACGACCGTTTTTGCTCTGTTCAAAATTAAGAAATTACAATCTGGAAATTAAGAATATATTTCTTTATTTCAAAGGTAATAGTTTATTATTACCTTAGAGGATTTTTATTTATTCCATCAGTTGATGTTAAATATCATTTGAGGGTTTCTCTTACTTTGCTAAGATGCGACAGCATTTTAGTAAAGTAAGAAACAAACTTTCAAGCATATTTTAATCACAATTCCGTTGATAATTTCCATTCCAAAACCTATTACTTCTTCCAATTTTCATTTTAAAAATGTTTACAGCATTGTCTTTGTTGTCATGAGAGCATTAATTGTTTCTTTTTGGAAGGTCATCGATTGTTGACTAAACAGCTGAAATGTTTTTAATTTAACTTGAGATAAGTAACATTTGATAAAAAACCTTTATTATATACAAAAATGAATTTGAAAAATTTCTTTTATGAATATTTTTATTGTAAACCATGTGTGGAATATAACAAACTAATCAAAGAAAATCTTACTTGATTTTTTTTTATAGTAATTTTTTATTCACATTGCATTTATAGTATTTTAGTATAAAGTAATTTTTTAATTGCATTTCATTTGCGCATGTTTTTTATTCAAATTGTGTTTTCAAGTGCGCTTGCTTAAAAAAGTAAACATTCCATTCTAGAAGTAAACTGTAACGATTTCAAACTGTTTATTCATGTTAGTGCAAAACAGAAATACTCATACAATAAAGCTATTTTATATCAGTGCTTTGTTAGTTTAAGAAAGACAGAATTTAACTGTTCAATTAAACAGGTTTAACTAAAAGTTTTTATCAAAAATCTTTTATAAAAAATCAATTAAACAACTTTTTACTTCTTGAAAGATTTTTTATACTCTCATTATAAGTTATATATATATTGAGCAAGGAAGTTTTAAATATTCCATTTACAAGCGAGTTTCACATAAAGAGAGCAATCTGCTTTATCAAAAGTCTTGATGTATATTATTTAGATAATGGAGTTTTCTATGACATAGTAATAAATGTTATTTTTTAAATCTATTTTAACTTTAATCTGTTTTTTTATTTAAATCTGTTAAAACAAATAATTTTAAAGTTTTTATTTTAATTTTTTACACATTTTTTTTGACACAAATTTTTTTCACAAAGTTTGCTCAAAAGCCCTTGGAATGCAGAATAATCTAATAAAAAATGAAGATCTCTCAGCTTCCTCTGCACACGAAAATTTTCCTGTTACTCAAGCAAGACCATTTTATGCTGATGGGTGGTGTGCACAGGTATTAAGCCTAAAGTTAAAAATCTTTACTATTCAAAACTTTTTTTGAAATTATAAAATATTTCTTTTATATTAGACTGCTAATGAAAATCAATGGTATCAAATAGACTTGCGAACTCCTCATAAAGTTACACGGGTTATGGCTACTGGCCAAGGGACTTTAAAATATGAATTGGCTTTTAGTAATGATGGAACAACTTGGAGTAACTATACAACACTTAAAGGCTTAACAAAAGTAAATAACTAAGCAAAATATTTAAATCCATCTTAATAAATTTATATATTTATTCAACTTTTTTTAACTATTATAGTTGTTTTCTATTGAACATAAAATATATGAGCTGGAAACCGAGCAAATATCACGCTATGTTCGTTTCTTACCAAAGGAATGGGATCAGAAAATTTGTTTACAAGTAGAACTCTTTGGTTGTACCATTGGTAACTATTTTAAAAATCTGCTTTTTAATTTACATATATCAAAATATTTACATATATTAAAAATAATTGAAATTGTTTATAATAATTCTTTTTAGAATGTAATAAAAGTTTAGGAATGGAGAATAAAGTAATACCAGACAAAGCTCTCTCTGCTTCTTCGTCACAAACTGGTTATCCTCCTCAAAATGCAAGACTAAATCTTGGTGCTTATAACTCCAATGGATGGTGTGCTCAAAAGAATGACATATATCAATACCTACAAGTATAGTTTTTTAAATATGTATTTGCCTCTACCTCTTAATATATGTCAGGGCCACTACACTGAAGAAAATCTATTTTTTTTTTCTTTCAATGTTTTTACAACCCTCTCTCAATTTATAACTGCTTGGGATGTGGTAACAACTGGTACAAGCAGGTACAACTGAATGTGGTATGGTAACCCTCTTATCTACAACTTAAAAATTTCGTACTTTATAATTTTAGTTTTGAATATACTTTTAAAAGTCACATAAAATTATCCAAGTATATGTTAACACTATTTACATCTGAACTTATACCTGTGACACATTTCCTGAACCAGTGAATACAAATGTTAAAGGTCCAAAATGTTTTGGAAGTTCCCCAGCTCGAATGTTTTCACCAAGTTCAAGATAACCGAGCTTGACGACTATTCTTATAATTTTATAAAGTTATTTTTTTATATTTTAAATATAATTTTCATTATATAGATTAGTTTTGACCATGAAGTACGAGTAGCTTACATTTCTACTCAAGGAAGTGAAGGAGATGTTTCAAAATATGTTACTAAGTATCGCCTTCAATGGAGTACAAATGGAGATTTTTGGAATCATTTACCAAATGAAGTAAAACATTGATAAAAAGCAAATTTTTAAGTTTATTTAAGCTTAGTTTTTTTTATTATTGTTGTATTTATTTTATATTTATTTTATTATTATATATATTATTATTTTTACTTGTATTAGTATTGTAAAATCTTTTAAAAAAATTATTTTAACAAAAGTTTACAAAAATTTGTACACTTTATTTTTTAGTTACCAGGAAACAATGATGGACGAAATTTTAATCGCTTCAAACTTCCTTATCCTATATTAGCTCGATATATACGAATTAATCCTATTGAATTTGTAAAAAGTATTTGCATGCGTGTTGAGCTCTATGGTTGCCCACTCGGTATTTTTATACGCATATATTTTATGTTACTTCTTAAATAAAAAGAAAAACCTGTTATAGTTATTTGAAGTTAAACTAATACCTAATAAGTTTAATCGTTTTAATGGTAAATCAAAAATAGAATAAATTGTTAAAAATATTGTTGTTGCTATAAGGTTATAAATAAATTGCATGAATAATAACTAAAAATAATTTGGTAAGAAAATAATTACTCTGGAATCAAGCTTAGGAGTATGTATTTAATATGTAAATGTAAGAATAATATGTTATATTTTTTGTACATTCACTTATACAGTAGAATCTTGTTAACTCGGCCTCTGAATGAGTATATATATTTTGTCAGACTTAGCGAATGTCCGAGTTAAGCAAAGCTTTTGGTATGTATAGAGAATTAGTTAGTAAAAAATTAGTCCAACTTTCAGGGTTCGAGTTAAGGGGATTCTACTGTACCACTCTGGCATAAGTGCGGATCTTTATGCCAATATTTTAAAATTCTTTTGCTGCACTTATGCCAATTTTTTCAAATTTTTCTGTTGCACATATTCCAGTTCACACATCGGTTGATCATCTGATGTATACTGTTCTTTGTGGTGCAGTCAGTGACTACAGATTTCCACACTTGTTAATGAGTTTCTCAATTGCTTTACTAATTTTTGATACAACTTGTATTATTCCTCTACCTTGTAGAGGTAGTTGCACTATAATGTTTGTAACTTGGTTTTATAAGAAGCTGAAATGTGCGAGCCATACAGGGCATTTGACAACATGGAATATATTCTGGCAGGGATAAATCAGTTGAGTCAAAATAAGAATAGGTGTCTTACTCATTTGTTTCATGTTCAGACTTGTCAGATTCAGACTTGTCAGATTTTATGGCTGCGTGGTCTTCATGTAATTGTCTGATGCTTTAACCATATTAGATCTATAAATTCTGGTAATTTTTCTTAAATTATGGTTAAACTAAAATAATTGAAATGTGAAATAATAACTTCGTTATTCATGAGGTTATTTTTGGTTACTAATATTGGTTATTGGTAATAATGGTTATATAATTTTGGTTACTAATATTGACTACATTTAATTGTAAGTTGTTTTGCATTATTTCTTTTATTTTGGATTTCTAGGGTTATTTCGTCCTTTTGATGCACAGATAATAGTATTTTATATAGTTAATTTAAATGCTAACTCTAAAATGTCACAAATTTGACTACTGAAAAAATGTATGCACTCTTATAGACTAGTTTATAACATTAAAAAAATTGTTAAGAATTATTGAATTAAAAATACTATATTTTACAAATATAGTTATTAATTACCAATTTAAACTTTGGTTCAAAGGTTTTTATCTGGCAATTTAAACTTTGGTTCAAAGGTTTTTATCATCTTTCGAAATGACAGCTGATTTAGCAATGCCAGTGAGTAGCTGGTATTGACAATCATTTCAATCAGGCTGAAGCAGTCGGTGTTTACTTGATTCCGTTGACCACCTGGTCGTTATTTGGCGTTCAAAGCACTCTTCTATTGTCTGGATCTTTATTTTTTCACTATTTCAGGAAGAATAGAATAGAATCGTTATCATCAATTTTACACTTTTTTGTTTTTTCTTTTCTTTTTATGTATTTAGAGAATACATGTAGATACAAAAAAAGTGTAATTTTTTTTCGTATCTTTATGTATTCTCTAAATATGCGTTATCAAGTTACTGGAATTTTTTCCGGCAAGAGTTGTTTCACACGCTTATGTGGATGTGTCGGTTTTTTCATTGTAAATAAAAAAATTTATATAACTTTTTTATAATACATAACTTTCTTATAATACATAACTTTCTTATAATACATAACTTTCTTATAATACATAACTTATAATACATAACTTTCATGTTTCCTACCAGCCAATTACCTACCTACCAAACCAACTAACTACCTACAATTAACTACCTACCAAACATTTTAACTCATTTTTTTATTGATTTTTAACTCTTTAGTATCTTTAAATATTTATAATTTTTATTAACAAAAGATTAAATGTATAGTTGATACATTTACCATTTATTACAAAAGAAATTCAAAGCATGGCAAACAAGCCGAAGAGCACATGACCAGATTGGTGCTCAGAGATGTGCAACATCAATAAAAGAAGTGTAAAAAAATTATCAAAATTTTTTTTTGTTAAGTTTTACTTTTGAATTCAAAAATTTTCGTTAAGTAATAATAAATAATTGTGTTTTTGTTTTTGATGTTAATATTCAATTCTATTTCAGTTTTTGTCCTTCAAATATTTCCTAATTTAAAATTTTTATAATAAAAATTAAAACTTTCAGTGTAAACAAGCTTTACAAATTGCTGACCTGGTAAATCTTGATTCAGCATATTAAATCCTATTGAAATTATGCTTAAACAGCTGTTTGAAAATGCGCATTTGACTAGAATTAAATAGTTTTAGGCGCATTTTGTAAAAAATATTAGTTCTGATTTATAACCTAAACTTTTTTTATAAAAAATGCTTATATTGTATCATAAAAAAATTCCTATTCCCCCTTTTAATTATCCCCCCCCCTCTCCTTTATATAAGACCTAGACTAAAATTCCCACCCCCTCCTTTTATTCCCCCTTTGTATTAAGGACTCGAGTTTAACAAAGCATGGTTGGTTTTATAGATTCACAAATCAAACCAACAGAACCACCTCCAAAGACAAAAGATATTTCAGTTTCTGGAAATTTTCGACTGACTAGCTATGAATACAATGATGGACTTTCAAGTTCAAGCAGAACAGAGTTTGCCAAGCTGGCCAGCATTGTTGAAGAAGCTGTAAGTTATTTAGTAAACTTTAGTGTTACTGTTGTTACATTGATATATTTATTTACAACCGTTATAAAATTAAGATAAGCTGAAATCATAATATACAGAGATGATTTACAATTATTATATAGAAATCATTTAAAATCATTATATACAGAAGGTCATTTACATTAACTTTTATTTTTAAGGTCATTTACATTAACTTATATTAAATTTTATTAACTTTTTCCTATTATCAATGCTAATTTTTGATATTTTAGGTTTTTTCTAAACTCAGAGTATTTGATTTAACGGAAAAAAACACATACTGAATTTTTTTAGTCCCTGGGTAATAAGTCCCTGTGAAATAATATATATATATATATATATATATATATATATATATATATATATATATATATATATATATATATATATATATATATATGTATATATATATATATATATATATATATATATATATATATATATATATATATATATATATATATATATATATATATATATATATATATATATATATATATATATATTAGGGTGTCCCAAAAAACAACTTTTTTAAAAATAATCTGCTCTCACCCCCTAAATGTGTTCTATCTAATACAAAAACACTAAGTTTAAATTTTTTTTCAATAAAAAATAATTTAAAGGGTCCCTCAAGACCCTCGAATATTTAATGGGTTTCTAATATTTTCAAAAAAAAGTTTTTAAAAATTATGTCAACCTGGTACTCAAATGAACCGAAATTATATAAAAATTTCAAAAATAATGTTCATTTCGGAAAAAAAAACGATACGTAATAATATTTCCCTTAAAATTTACAATATTTGCCAAAACAAAAAACAATTTTCTGTAAAAAAAATCGCCGATTTCGTTAAAAAAAAAAAGTATCGTTTAAGTACGTATTGTTTTTTCCGAAATGAACATCATTTTTGAAATTTTTATATAATTTCGGTTCATTTGAGTACCAGGTTGATATAATTTAAAAAAGTTAATTTTTTAAAATATTAGGAACCATTAAATATTCGAGGGTCTTGAGGGACCCTTTAAATTATTTTTTATTAAAAAAAAATTTAAACTTAGTGTTTTTGTATTACATAGAACACATTTAGGGGGTTGAGAGCAGATTATTTTAAAAAAGTTCTTTTTTGGGACACCCTAATATTTATATTTGATTGAAACGCAATTTTGAAAATGGTCTCGGCTAAACAACTGCAAGATATTGAGAAAAAGAGTTTCTCGCGCTTGAAGCAAATTTAAACAAACAGATATCAAGCTTACAAATTCGAATACAGAAACTTGAGAACAACTTAGCGTCAAAAGACTCTATAATTGCCAAGCTGAAGTCTGACCTAACCAAATTGGACATAACATCGACCAAGCTTAGTGTTGATTTAATGAATAAAACAAATGATCCCACGAAGACTTTCGCTTCCGTCTTAAAAAAATCATCCAAAAAAAGCCACCAAGTTATAAACATGGTGACTGCCGACTCCAAGGACAGAAACGATCGTGCATCAAATATCATCGTTGTTGGCCTTGACAAATCCGAAACTAAAAATGACCTAACCCTCCTTACCGAATTCTTTAATGATTGTGGAGCATCTATGGTTATTAATTCAGTTCAAAGACTAAATTCAAAACCTAAGAGTAGCAGGGCTGCCCCGAATTTATTAAAAGTTACCTTCGACAGTGAAGATGGACAAAATGAGGTACTTGAATCGTGCTATCATCACTCAGTTGATGAGTTCAAAGGTGTTTTTGTTTGCGAAGACCTAACCCCAGCACAATAAATGGAATTCAAAGAGCAACGCAAAACGTTAAAAGCACATAACAACAAACTTAATTAGACCTTAAACAGGTCTCCTCGATAATCCTTTTCGTTATGTTGTTCACCGCTGCACTAAACAAATTTGCTGTATCAACGTTGAAGAATCATCAAATGAGAACTGTTATGTATTTGCATCACCAAAAGGAAAAACCATGCATAAAAAGTTGTCGAATGATTGACCACTACAATCTTAAACATTAAATTGTGCATATTTTAATGCAAGATCTCTGAACAATAAGCTAGAAAACCTACACAACCTTCTCCAATATGGCAACCTTGGCTAAACACCTCTACTCCAGACTCGTTGTTGTTAAATGGAAACAGCTACAAAGTTTTTCGACATGACCGTGACAGTAAAGGTGGTGGCTAACTTATATTGGTGCATAATCATATTCAATCAGTCCAAATTCGTCCAGAAATTCCCGACGATCTTCAAAACACTGAATTTATCTGTATTGATGTAAATGCTCCTTCAAACCACGTCAAGATAAGATTTTTGTGTATTTACCACCCACCTTGTGCTTCTTCTAACATTGTTAAAACCAAATCCATGTGCAAGTTGATTTCCAATTTTCTGTTAACGTGTGATTCTGCATGAGTATCAACCAGTGATTTTAATTTATGGCGTATAGACTGGTCGATTCCTATCAGTTTTAGTGATGCGTGCCATGATTTTTTTGTAGAAACTTGTTTTGTAAATGCTCTCACCTATCTCATAACTGACAATACTCGACTTAATAATTTGTTAGACCTCATCTTAACAAATAATAAAAAAATTGTTTACAATGTGGAAACAGCTGCTCCATTCACCAGCACTTGCGACCATTCCACCATACTATTTAATTGTAATTTGATGAATTCCAAACGTCGTGAACTATTTAGTATTCACAATTTCTATAAAGCTGACTATATTTCGATTAATAACGACTTACTTAACATAAACTGGTATATGTTGACCAAACAAAACCCAGACGTTGAATCATTCAAGCTATTTGTAAAGTCCTGAGTGTATCTATTGCTTCTCACGTTCCTTCATTATGCAATAAAGAAAAGCTTGTTCAACCCCTTGCTATTCGTAAATTAGCGTCCAAAAAACATACTCTGTACAGACTTCATAAAAGAACACATAACCTTTCTGTTCTTATCAGCTACGAGAATTGTTCACGTTTATACGATGCTGAAATCACAAAAAACTGTATTGCTTGAGAAAAATACATAGTGGACAAATAACAATGTAACCCAATTTTATTCTTACGTCAATTCAAAATTTAACTTTTTAAATTCTGTTGCGCCACTTGTAAGACTTGACGGTTCCCTTTGTACTGATGACTGTGAAAAATCGAGCCTTCTGAACAATTTTTTTGCTTCAGTGTTTGTCTCTGACAAGGGTACTAAACCTGTGCTAGACCTACCATCCCACGATAATTCTTTAAATAATGTCCTATTTTCTTATGATTCTGTTCTATCAGCCTTTCAAAAACTTCCACCAAAGTCATCAAAATCACCAGATGGGTATCCTGCCTTATTCCTGAAATCGATTGCTAATATTATTGCCATCCCATTTTCTCTCCTTATCGAATTGTCAATGTTAACCGGTGTAACTCCGAATATTTGGAAAACCGCATATGTATGTCCGATTTTCAAGAAAGGTAACCCCTCCTTATCTATGAACTACAGACCTTCAATGACTTGTATTAGTTGCAAAGTTATGGAGTCAATTATTGATAATAGTTTAAAAAGGTACCTTCAACTTAATAACTTTATCTCTATTCACTAATTTGGGTTCTTAAAGCGTAGATCTACATGTACACAGATGTTAGCTTCTCTTAATGAATGGACCTCAGCTGTTAACAAGAAAAAGGAAGTTGATAATATATATTGACTTCGAAAAGGCATTCAACTCTGTATCGCATTCTAAGTTAGTGTACAAACTGAATTGTTATGACATTAAGTACGAACTTCTAAATTGGATTACCAACTTTTTAACTGATCGATCCCAATGTGTTTGCATCGGTAATTCTTACTCAAACTACGTACCTATAAAGAGTGGAATACCCCAAGGAACTGTGTTGGCTTCGACTTTATTCTTATTATTTATTAATGATGTAGTTTCTTGTATTGAAGGTGATTGTCGAATAAAGCTGTTTGCTGACGATAGCAAATTGTATCAAACGAGAGACGAAAATAACAATGCAGACCTTAAAATATCATTAAAAAAGTTCTCTGATTGGACAGCTTACTGGCAACAAAAAATAGCATTCAAAAAATGTTTTCACTTATGTTTTGGAAGTAAGCCTTTGACTGTTCATTCGTATTCGTTTTGCCTGTACACCCTAATATTGACTGTTAACTGTATTGAAAATATTTGTATTACGGTATTTTCTGACACAAAATTTTACAAACACTGTTCTCGTATTGCCACAAAAGCTTACGCTCGTCTATATTTACTTTTCAAAACCTTTATCAGTAATGATTCAAATCTCCTCTTAAAAGCCTACAAGGTCTATGTGCGTCCAATCTTAGAATCTTGCACCCCAGCATGGAGTCCTTACCTTCTTAAAGATATACATTGCATGGAAAACGTCCAAAGATACTTCAGCAGAATTACCTGTAAAAGATGCCATATTTCTTACACTGATTACACATTGAGACTATCTGTTTTAAAACTCGATTTTCTTGAACACCGCAGAGTCAAATTCGATCTTTTTATGACCTACAGAGTTATAAACAATCTTGTTGACCTTCCTTTTTCCGATTTCTATACATTTTCCAATTCTCATTACCCCACTAGAAGTCATGCGAAAAAATTAGTTTCACGCAATAAATGTACTAACAATACACGTAGATCTTTTTTCAGTGAAAAAATTGTAAAAATATAGAATTCATTGCCTGCTCACATTGTCGATTCATCATCATTATTCATATTCAAAAAAAAACTACAAACTTACGACTTATAACAAAGTTGCGTATTGTATTAAATTGCCTTTGTTCAGGTGTTACATAAGCGTAATCTTGTGATTACCTGTCTCACCCATTTGTATTTTAATGTATTTTTTTAATGCAAATAAATATTATTATTATTATTATTGTTATTAATTTGGATAATTTAATTGGTTCTTTCTGTACTAAGAGTATCGAAATATAATTATGTATGCTAATTATGCTACTTTCCGTACACAGAATTTTTAGTATAATTATGTTTGGTTGTTTCTCTACTCAGATTTTTTAGTTAAGTTTTATTTATTTTATTTTATATATTTTATTTATTTCTTTCCATACTCAATGTTTTTAATTATAATATATTAATTTGGTACTTACCAAAGTTTTTAAGTTTTTTACATTATATAATACTAATCATACACTATATAATGCTTTTAGCAACTCTCTTAATAGCATTTTTAAAATAGTTTATATAAATGTTTAATTTTTATAAATATCTAATAACTTTTATATATGTTTATATTGAGACGAGTTCAGTTTTTTCATTTCCATTGCAATATATTTAGGAAACACTTGTTAAAAATAAGGTTTTTAAATGCTAAAACTTTCTATAATCCTCAGCTTGCATTATAGACAGACTGGTTATTTATTGAAAGTTCGTTGTTATACTTATGTAATTATTTTTTGTTATACTTATGTAATTATTTTTTGTTATATTTATGTAGTTATTTTTTGTTATATTTATGTAGTTATTTTTTGTTATATTTATGTAGTTATTTTTTGTTATAGTTATGTAATTATTTTTTGTTATAATTATGTAATTATTTTTTGTTATACTTATGTAATTATTTTTTGTTATATTTATGTAGTTATTTTTTGTTATAATTATGTAATTAGTTTTGTTATAATTATTTAATTTTTTTTGTTATATTAATGTAATTATTTTTTGTTATACTTATGTAATTATTTTTTGTTATAAATATTTAATTATTTTTTGTTATATTTATGTAGTTAGTTTTTGTTATAATTATTTAATTATTTTTTGTTATATTAATGTAATTATTTTTTGTTATACTTATGTAATTATTTTTTGTTATAAATATTTAATTATTTTTTTGTTATATTTATGTAGTTATTTTTTGTTATAGTTATGTAATTAGTTTTTGTTATAATTATTTAATTATTTTTTGTTATATTGATGTAATTATTTTTTGTTATACTTATGTAATTATTTTTTGTTATAAATATTTAATTATTTTTTTGTTATATTTATGTAGTTATTTTTTGTTATAGTTATGTAATTAGTTTTTGTTATAATTATTTAATTATTTTTTGTTATATTGATGTAATTGTTTTTTGTTATACTTATGTAATTATTTTTTGTTATAAATATTTAATTATTTTTTGTTATATTTATATAGTTATTTTTTGTTATAATTATGTAATTAGTTTTTGTTATAATTATTTAATTATTTTTTGTTATATTAATGTAATTATTTTTTGTTATACTTATGTAATTATTTTTTGTTATAAATATTTAATTATTTTTTTGTTATATTTATGTAGTTATTTTTTGTTATAATTATGTCATTATTTTTTGTTATAATTATGTAATTATTTTTTGTTATAATTATGTCATTATTTTTTGTTATAATTATGTAATTATTTTTTGTTATACTTATGTAATTATTTTTTGTTATAATTATGTCATTATTTTTTGTTATAATTATATAGATTTTTGTTGTTATAATTATGTCATTATTTTTTGTTATAATTGTGTCATTATTTTTTGTTATACTTATGTAATTATTTTTTGTTATAATTATGTCATTATTTTTTGTTATACTTATGTAATTATTTTTTGTTATAATTATGTCATTATTTTTTGTTATACTTATGTAATTATTTTTTGTTATAATTATGTCATTATTTTTTGTTATAATTATATAGTTATTTTTTGTTATAATTGTGTCATTATTTTTATGTTATAATTATGTATTTATTTTTTGTTATAATTATGTAATTGTTTTTTGTTATAATTATGTCATTATTTTTTGTTATAACTATGTCTTTATTTTAATCTTAGATCACTCGTGTTTACATTGGTAGTGAAACATTTAAAGATGGCTTCAAGCGTGTAATTGTCACCGGTTTCCGGTAAGCACTTTTTTAAAAGTATAGTTTAATTGTAAATTGTTTTTTTCATTAACTCAAATTATTCTTTATCTATGATTTGCTTGTTTGTTTTGTTTAGTCCAGGGAGTGTTATTGTCGATTTTCAATTGCTGTTCAGCACATCTAGTAATGTTGACCCAATAAAACCACTCAAAGATCAAATTGCAACAGGAGAATTATCAGGGTTGAAAGTTGATAAAACATCTTTCAAAATAAGTAAGTCCTCTCACAAAAAATCAATTAACTGTGTACCAAACATCTATATTAAAATCTTATATATATTATAATTTTATTCTTTTTTTTTTTTTTTATAGATGAACCACCCAAAGATAAGCGATCAAGTAAATCCATAAATTTAATTCTAAAATTATAAATATTATAATATCTACATGGGTTAAAATGTAAATGTTTATTTAGTTTCAAAAAAAAAAATGTATTATTGAAATGTTTTTAACAGGTTCAAGCGGTGGTCTTTCGAAAGGTGGAAAAATTGCACTCGGTGTATTTTTTTCTCTCTTAATCATTATGATTGGTATAGCAATAGTTTATATGAGAAAGAAAAAATCTGGTTTCGAACACAAAATCTTTGACAATCCTAATTTTGATCAACAAAAATATTTAAAGACAAAGAACGACTTGTCGGATTAGTTATAATTTGTTATATAGCGCTCTCTTCTATAAGAATTTTTTCTAATATAAATTTATTTTAAGTATATATGTTTTACATAATTTATAGAAAAAGTTTTAATAAATTAAGTTTTTTAGAAATTTACTTTAATTTTTTAAATCTGGTTTAATAGTATAATAAAACTAAAACGAAATTTCAAAAAATGAGAATCATTAAATATGTAGATTTTATATTATTTTAGAAAATAAATACTATATTTGATACATTTGATAACTAACTATATTTTACTTATTTTGAAATTTTAGCTTTATAACACATGTATATATTAAATAGATTTAAAAATTCTTTTTATTTAGAGATTGTTTTTTAAATATAATTTGTTAAATAAAATTTTACAATGTAAGTGAAAATTTAATAATAAAAAATAATAATGATAATAATAAATATTGAGTTTTGTTTGTATATATTTACCATATTAAACAGTTTTTTATTGTATGTTTTAATATTTATCTTCAGAATAAAATATTAAAACACTTAAATATTGTATGTTGGTTTTTTACTAAAAAAATTTAGTTAAAAAATCATTTTCTGAGACAATTCCCTTGAAAAGTCCAATATGTACCAATAATTAAAGAATTAATTTGATAGAAAAGGATTCAAGTTATATTTTAAGTTTGTATTGTCAAGAGAAATGCACTAAGTCCATTTTTGCCAGTATTGAGTTATTTATTAAGGGGTGTTCAAAAAAATAAAACTTTCAAAATGCGACTACACAAGAAGCCAAATTTAGGGCAATCATAAAAAAAATACGATAACAAAAAAAATATTAAAAAAAAATTGGCATTTACCTTGCTCTCAAGCAGCAAAATACCCCAAAAAATGCCCCAAATTGTTCCTAAATTATTTAGCTTTGAGTGCAAGGTAAATCTCAACATTTTGTAAAACTTATTTTTCTAATGTAATCATAATAGTTTAAAGTTTTTTTTAGATTGTTGTGTATCCTAGTTTTTGCATAATTTTTGTTTAAAATAAAAAAAGATTTAACATAATTTATGCCAAAAAAAACTTTTTTTTTGTTTATTTACGAAATTTTTTTTTTTTTTTGCGTATATGCACAAAATTATTTTTTTGATTAATCTTTTTTTAATATAAACAACAATTATGCAAAAACAAGGATACACAACATTCAAAAAAAAAACTTTAGACCCTTATGATCACATCAGAAAAATTTTTTTTACAAAATATTGAGATTTACCTGGCACTCAAAGCCAAATAATTTAGGAACAATTTGGGGTATTTTTTGGGGTATTTTTCTGCTTGAGCACAAGATAAATATTAATATTTTTTGAGTTTTTTTTTGTAATGATTTTTTTTTATATTTGCCGCAAATTTGGCTTCTTGTGTATTTGCATTTGAAAATTTTATTTTTTTTGAACACCCCTATTATTTATACCACTATTTAGTATTTTAAATTCATTATCGTTTGATATACCACACAAATTTAATAAATCAATTATTAATGAGTAATTTCGATTTTTTATTTTAGTTATTACACAAAAACTTATTATTTTAACTATTATGCAAAAATTTATTTGTTTATTTTCTTAAAATGATGTTTTTAGACTTAGTGCATTCCCTTGTATACCGATGATATCATCAAAGTTAATTTTATGTATAACATATAATTTTAATTTCAGTTTTTAAGTTTGATATATATTTTTAACATCTTTTTTTAGTATATAAATAAACAACAAATGCATAAATAAACAAGATGCTAGCATTATACTTCATTTTTCTGGCCCAAACATTTCAAGGTAAAACATTTTAAAGCTGTCTATCTATCTATCTGATATCATTCAGATTTTAATCATTGAAAAATTATTTTTGTACATGTATATATTATTTGTAAATATATTACAGCCTTGTTGGCGCAATATTATTAATTGACATAGGCTTTATTTTATTTTATTTTATTTTGCAAATTGTCTGAATTTAAAAATAAAATAAAATCTGATTAAGTGGAATTTGTTTGTGTGTATGTGTTTGTGTGTGTTGTGTGTGTGTATGTGTTGTGTGTGTGTATGTGTGTGTGTGTGTGTTTGTGTGTGTGTATGTGTGTGTGTGTGTGTGTGTGTAAAGAGAGAGAGAGTACACACATACTTATATATTCTTCAATTTTGATAGGAAAAATGACAAACTATTTTTTTTTTAATTAACCAATAAAAATCATCTCAACTTATAAAATTATTATAATTTAATTTGGAACTGTTTTGGTGCTTAATTTTTCTTTATTTTTTATGAGTTTTTACAAATAGAATTGTTTTTTTTTAAAAGGTTACTTTATTAACTTATTTTTGTTTGTTTTTCAATGATCTATCTGTTGTTTTTTTTTTGTCTAATATAGACGAAATACTTTCTGTTTGGTTTTAATTAGGCAACTGTTGGCCAATACATAAATGGTATCAATATTAATTAAAAACCAATATTAAAACCAAACATGTCTAGATACTTGATTTGTTTTATTCAACTGCCTTGTATGCTTAAATTGGTTAAACTTGTTGTCAATGTAAAAACATTATGTTCTATTTGGTTTCTGTTCATTAATTCTTTAGTTGTTGTATGCTGTGTGTCTTATGTTGTATAGTTAACTAAGTTGTCGCACATATGTTGGCGCATGCTTGTCCACAGTTCACCTGCTACAGTTTTCCAACCTTTTGTGGTCTCAAATAAACCCCAAATATTAAGATGCTTAAAGGTTGAGAAGTAGCCTTAATGGTTGAACAGCAAACAATATTGTTATGGCAAAGCTTTATGTAGTACATTTTCTTCAAAGTGTTTTGGACAGATCACAGATAATTTGGTGACTGTCCAGAAATTTCTATTGAGAAATCTAACCCATAAATTTCTCAAATCATAATTATGGAAAATCAAAAACCAAAAACCACCAATATAGTTAGAGGTATGACCAGCAACAGAGCATTTATTACCCATAATTAAAATTTATTTCTAAAAAAAAGACACAATTAAATGTACAAAGTGAAGTTGAGTGCTAAGGTTTTGATTTAGCCAATGTAAAAATTTCTATTCTGTGCCAGATTTACCTAAAGTTTAAAGCGATATAAAATATTTTGAGGAAGTTTGTCCATCCAGCAGAACTTACAATATTAAAATGATGTTTTTCTTTCTTAAAAATTTAGGCTAAATAAAAGCAATGTAAATAATAAGGCCATGAAATTATTCCTGGAAATCCTGTAACTTTTTAATAGTATTAAATTTCATTATCATGTTTTTATCCTTTAAAAAATTTTGATCATTTAGATTTATATTGCATTTGCTAATTATGTATTTTCTAGACTACAAAAGATATTTTGTTTAATGTTTTGCTCAGCATTAACATTATCTAAATAAATAGTATTCTAGCAGTTTATTATGTGAAATTCTTGATGAGCAAGACAATCATTGACAAACAACTCAAAAGATTGCAAATTATATGAATCAAGAAAACAAGATGAAGGAAGCCAATTCCAAAGAACTAATGTCTGAGGATAAAAACTAAATAAATATGAGTTTTTGGAGCACTTAGAAACAGTCACAGTAAAGGGATGAGACAATTGAATGACGGATAACACGAAAATGAATTTTAGTAGATGACATAAAAGACTAGCTCTTTAGGGCTATTTGCATTACAGTAATTATAGCAAAGAGAAAGAGAAGAGAAGCAACATTATGATGATGTGATAATGATTGGAGGCTGGCTCCAAAAGCAGGTCCAATTATGTTTACGATGTGTTTTTGCACCCTGTCTCAATTGTCAGGAAAGCGAGTTTGAATGTCGACTATTTGTGTTAGAGATTGAGAAAGACAAAAGTTGTGGGCCTTAACGCCTACAAAGTTACTAAAAGTAGAGCCAAGCCATTTAGTGTGATGAGCATTAAAGTCACCTACAACAATGATATTGACCAAAGGATAAAGAGAAAGGACTTGTTTGATTTAATAACAAATAACATTGAAATGAGTGCAGTCTTGAGATGCAGGAAAGTGATGTAGAACAATAAGAAAAGTGATAGTGAAGTGATGCTGAACAAAAGCACATAAAAGAATAGTCTGTGGATTCAAATCTAGTTTCCTAACAAATGGAGAAATTCTTTAGAATGTAAATGCCCTGCTTAGTATGCGACTATTGAAGTCTTTACGAATTAAAGAAAGATAACAATCAACACTAAGATCACATGATGAGACAGCTGAACTTAAATTAGTCTCATAAAAAGTAAGTAGGTCTGGTGAACTTTGTAAGAGATAAAACTCAACAGAAGAAATTTTACTTCGAAAAACACAAATATTAGTGAATGATAGATTTAGAGAACTTGGTGATGATGATGGTTGGTGATGATGATGGTTGGTGATGATGATGGTTGTGTTTTATAGTTTATGTTACTTTAGTCATTTTAAATTTGTTAAAGAACTTGACTCAAAGCACAGATAGTACTCAGTACACTATTTAATAGTCCAAGCAATTGCCTCATTACTATTAATAAACCTGAAGCCGTAACAAAGAGCTCAAAATGTGGCCTTGACACCAATACACACCAATCGTATGAACAGGGATACCATCCATACGCAACAAAGCATTGTAAGTACTCTGATATTTTACAGCTGTTGATGGAAGCAGCCTTTCTGAGAGCTACTAGCCAGTTTCAGAACCATAAAACTGAATTTTAGTGCTGTACCCTCATTAGGAGATAATAGAATGAGTTGCCTAGTTCTTAAAACAGAGACAAGCAAAATCCATGCATTGAGTCAAGAAGATCCAGCATTCAACATCCTAAACTAGAAACAATAAAATTTAAATTCCTCTACACCTGTCTAATTGATTAAAAAGAAGTGGGATGCTGATCAACTGGTAGAATCTGTCTACCACATCAGTCTTTGCCTAGGAGGCCTTCTATAAGATAGTAGCCAGATGCAGTTAACATCTGCCTAAGATGAGTATTTTTATCGAGACTATATATATATATATATATATATATATATATATATATATATATATAGTCTCGATATATCGATATATATATATATATATATATATATATATATATATATATATATATATATATATATATACATATATATTTGTATATATATATATATATATATATTTGTATATATATATATATTTGTATGTATATATGTATATATATATATATATATATATATATATATATATATATATATATATATATATATATCAGGGTGTAAACTAGCCCTGTGGCGCCCCATCAAACGCTGTATTCCAAAATACTCATAACAATATATATATATATATATATATATATATATATATATATATATATATATATATATATATATATCAGGGTGTAAACTAGTCCTGTGGCGCCCCATCAAACGCTGTATTCCAAAACACTCATAACAATATATATATATATATATATATATATATATATATATATATATATATATATATATATATATATATATATCAGGGTGTAAACTAGCCCTGTGGCGCCCCATCAAACGCTGTATTCCAAAATACTCATAACAATATATATATATATATATATATATATATATATATATATATATATATATATATATATATATATATATTTGTATATATATATATATATATATAGTTGTATATATATATATATATATATATATTTGTATATATATATATATATATATATATATATATATATATATATATATATATATATATATATATATATATATATCAGGGTGTAAACTAGCCCTGTGGCGCCCCATCAAATGCTGTATTCCAAAATACTTATAACAATATATATATATATATATATATATATATATATATATATGTGTAAGTATACATATAAGGACCCTGTGGCATCCCGTCAAACACTGTATTCCAAAATGCTCATAAAATTAAAATTCCCAATATAAAGGTGAAAAAATCCCTTTCTCTAAATAAATAATTCTAAATATTTTTGAAAACTAATTTTTATTTAAAACTAATAGAAAAATAAAATATAAAATTCTAATTCATTAATTACCTAAAGCTTGAAATAAAATTCCCATTATTAGTATAAATAAGCAATTGCATAACTTCGAAAATGTCACTTCGATGAAGAAGAATTTTTTTCTTCTTGAAAATTTTTCAAGCAATTTTTAAGGATTTAATCGGCTACTTGCAGTAAAATTAATTTCATAATTTTTAAATAATTTTTTGCAATGTATTCCAACATCAGCAAATATATAAAAAAGTTAGCAAGAAATAAAGGGTTAATCTAAAAAATCTAAAATAATAACAAATTTGTTTGGTTTAACACACGCACATTAGATATCAGCAGTTTTTGGTATTAAGTTGCTTCAAGTTGGAGTAGATAGTTTATAAGAAAATAAGAGTTAACTCAAAAATAAAAAAACTTAACATAAATAAAAAAGTTAACATCTAACTATCTTTTTTGAAAAATAAGTTTAAAATATCAACATAAATAAACTGCTTTAAAGACGACATTTTTTGTAGAATTAAAATAAAATGCCCAATTAAAAATACGTAAAGGTAAACAAAACTAAAACTTTCGTGGTTTATTTATATGGTTTATTTTTTGGTTTATTTATAACGTGGGTTATTGGGGATTATTGGGGGTTATGAGGGATATTATATAGATTTATTTATAACGTGGTTTATTTATAACGTGATTTTTTCATGCATTAAGTTAAAGTTTTCAAGCTAAAAATTTAAATGTTTTTTTTATAAACTTAAACACGAAAATATCTAAAAATTTTTTTTTTGATGATTGTCTATCTAACCCCAAATATATTACAACCATGTTTTTTTAAAACTTTATTTACATAGGTTCATCTATTTATATGGCTTTCATGTAAAACTACCCATTTTTACAGGACCCAAACATGTCTAAAAAATTAAAAATATATATTTTTTATGTTTCATTATATATGAAAAAACAAGGGAAAATGTTTCAAATCAACATTCTTTTTAAGACTTTGTTAATTATAACTCGTTCTAGTTTATGTTATGAATTATATGTAAAAAAAAATTAATTAAAATAAGATAGAATCTAGAAAACTTGCAACTTTCAAATTTTAAGTCTATAAGTTTGAAGCAATTGATTTTTCTAAAAAAAGTTGAAAATCGCTGGTGTCTAATGCACATGCTTTTCTTTAACAAATTTGCAATTTTTGGCTTAAAAGTTAAATAATTTTTCAGTCTTACTGCAAACTCAACTTCAAGTAGTACATGTGCTTAGTCAACAAAAATGTTGAAACCGTTTATGTCAGATACTTTAAAAATTTTGATCTATTACATTAAGGACTCATCCACCCAAAATGTATTCAAAAAAAAGGAGACAGAGTTATTTTATGCGGCAATTTTTATTAAACTGAATAAGCTTTTTTGATTTAATATTATATTAAGACTTATTTTATATTACATTAGAAACCTGCGAGGGAAAAGTTTTAATCATTTTTGTTTTGTTTATTGTGAAAGTTTGCGATACGTAATTTATGGGCGATAGTTAATGTTAAGTCTTTTAGTTATTGTTTTTCATTTTTTTGTGGTGATCACATCGACTAAAATCTTTTTTTACTTATCTATTTTTAATTCACTTACTTTTTTAAAAAACCACCTCTGAAATATAAGTTAAACTAAAAAAATGTTTTATGGTTATAACAAACTGGTATTACAAAATTATTGAACAAGGAAAATAGATTTCTTTACTTTACTGCTTGCTTGTATTTAAAACGTAAATGCTTATATTAAAATGTAAATTAAATATGTTTGATAATAAGAATGTTTTTTTTTTTATTACAACAAACTGGTACTAAAAAATTAAATAGCAGAAAACAAGGTTCACTGCTTGAATTTAAAATGTAACATTTTGAATAAACATAGTCATAACATTTTATAACTATGAATGAAAAAATTACTATTGGTATTCTTCATTGCCACGCAAGCAATCTGCTTGCAATCAATATTCTTCTATAATAAAACATTTATTGTTGTTTTTGCTGAAACTGTAATTATATCTTTATTTCGCTATATGATTTATGTATAAAAAAATTATTATTATATATAAAATTGAACTCGCAATAATGTGAAATATAAAATTGACGAGCTTGTGTTTACTTTTTTTAAAACCTCATCTTTTTTTAAAACATTTCTTTTGATGATACAATTTATTATATGATGATGTAAGGGTTCCTCCATAAAGGACATCAAACAGAATTTAAATAATAATTAAAAGTAGAAGATCATTGGCTCTCCTCCACGGAGATTTTCATTGAACATAAATTGCTACATTACCATATTACAGTGAGAAAGAATACTCAAAAGAATACTCTTGAAATAAGCGGCAACAATATATTAAGATTAAAAATAAATCAACTATATAATCTTTAATAGTAATTAATTAATATACACTGATTATTTTAAAATATAAATATATATAATTCCTAACATATGTTTGGAAATCGGAGTTTAATTTGCTGTGTTGTTATGAAAACACGTTTAATTTTGTATTGATTTTATATTCATCTTGAATGTTACAGATGGTTTATTATTTTATTTTTGGCGCTAACCAATCAATGTATGCAGTTTGAAAGTGGAGTAAAAAAAAAGTATATATTTTAACATATAACATATTTTAATCTTAATGGATATTTTAATCTTAACAGAAATATTTTGACAAATTCCTAATTTCGTTAAAACGCTGTTTCAAATTTATTTTTGGTTAATACCCTGTGTATATATATTGTGTATATATATATATATATATATATATATATATATATATATATATATATATATATATATATATATATATATATATATATATATATATATATATATATATATATATATATATATATATATATATATATATATATATATATATATATATATATATATATATATATATATATATATATATGAGAAATGACAATTGTAAAGGCAATTTAATTTTTGAAAGAAAAAGGAATTTTCGTATTTTATCTCACAGTGATCAAATCTAGAAAATAATTCAACATTAATTTAATTCCATTTAATTTTATTTTTTGTAAAGGTGTTTATTACTTTCTTGGCCATGCAAATAATATATACCTTTGTTGTTTAAAGTTGTTTTTAAATTATATAAATATTTTTTCAAATGTTTATACGGTTGTTAAATGAATAAGTTTTTATTTAAGAATTATATTTTTAGAGAGTTATGGTGGTAATTGTTATGATGGCTGGATTGAGAATAAAGATTTTTGCTATTTATTTAATAATGTAAACGAAACAACACCAGGGCAAACCTGGGATGATTCTCTTTCAATTTGTAAACAATTCGGAGGGAGTTTATTAAGTGTAGAAAATGAAGCAGAAAATTTATTTCTATTAAAATATATTAAAAACAACTTAGATAAACCGTTCATGAATAGGCAGCGTTACTGGATAGGTATAATACTTTTGTTTATGACAATTTATTTGATGATTTTTATAGACATAATTAGTTAATGACAAAAATTTATATAATATATATTTTTTAAAAGGTCTCAGTGATAAAAAGATTGAAGGAAAATTTGTGTGGTCTGATAATACAATTTCTAATTTCACTTATTGGGGCCCAAACCAACCAAGCATGTCGCTTAGTCGTCATTCAGAAGACTGTGTAGTTGCAGTATCTGATGGCTCTTGGTATGACTATTCTTGTCGCAGTCTTTTTGGATTTATTTGCAAAGCAAAGAAAGGTGCATTAATAATACATTTTTTTTATTGTTTATTGTGTAAGTGGTCATAGTTTAAAATTTTATTCAGTTTCACAGAAGTATTTAAATCTATTTAATAGGTGCAGCAACACTGGTACCACCAACTTTGTCACCAAACTTCACTTTTCCAAACTCCACTGATAGTAAGAAATCAAATTTTATTTTTAAATTTTTGATATTTATTATTGAAAGGTTCTTTATTAATTTTAGATTTTATATTTTTTTAAATTATTTATTATTTAGTATATACTTATTGTTATTATTATTGTAAGAATTAATAGTAATATGTGTTAAATTTTTTTTCTTTCAAGTTGCTGAAATTGCTAATATTTAAATTAGTCTAAAGATATCTTTAAACAATAAAATTAAAAAAAAATGTTATAAAAACCACTTAAAAGTTTAAATGACAATTATGTAAAATGCGGTAGTGGTGTAGTGTATTTTTTTTTCCATTTTACTTCTTACTTTATTTTAGAGTATAAAGTAATAAGTAACGTATTCTTATTATTTAGAAGTATGAATTCTCTTTATATATAAAGTAAGAAGTATCATGAATTCTCTCTATATATAAAGTAAGAAGTATAATGAATTCTCTGCATAGAGTAAAAAGTATTATGAATTCTCTTTCTGTATAACTTAATATTGTTTAGTAGATGAAAAAGAAAAAGAAAAAAAAATCCAAAGTAACTAATTATGTGCAATATTTTCTTGTTAAAAATTTGAAACATTAACATAAATATATAGTTTCAAATATATTTTCCATACAATCTAAAATGCAAAATTAATGATTTATTATTGAGTAGAAAATGGCACTAAACCATAAAAAAAATATTAAATGAATTTTGTTTTAAATGTTAACAAAAAACAAATTTAAATAACATTAAGGCATCAGACCTCTAAAAGATTTTTAATACTTTCAATGCAGGTTTTTTGCCAGATCTTGGAGTGACACAATTTTTTAAAAATGTTGCTTTTCATTAAACAATCATATTTTTCCATATCAAATAAATAATAGTAATTAATAATAAATAATTGATATTATCATTAAAATACTATTTAAAGATTCTCTACAGCCATGATCTTCGATTATTGAAAAATTATTTGAAAAATTAAGAAACAAAAAAATATCCATTGTTAAGAGTTCTCTATTTTTAATCCACCACAATCTAAAAATTTAGAAAGTTTCACTACAGTCTAAAGTGGGCAAGATATCAGCATAAATGCCGAAAATAAGTATTTGTGGAGACTTTTTTTTTTTACAATATCTTAAAAGTAAATACCCTCAATAAAAAAATCTGTTGTTTAAATATTTTAATTTTTGTTTTAGAATTCCAGGGAAAAAAAGTTTTAAAAGGATCCCCAACTGCGGAGACAAGTTGTGTTTATATTAAAGAAAATGTTTAAAAAAAACATTTGGGTTTGAAAAAAACATTTAGTTTCAATCAAAAACAATGTTTAAAAAAAACATTATTTAGTTTCAATCAAAAATTTTTTTTTTTGATTGAAACTAAATAATGAATGCATACCAACAAAATTAAAATTATCGTTTTAGTCGAGGCTCACCTTCTCCATTTTTTTTTTTTGGTTCTCGGGGTCTGTATAATGTTAGCCGCAATCTGCAGATTTGATAATTTTATTCTATGCGTGTTTAATTCATAACAGTTTTTGTATATGTTGTCATCGCAATATCTTTTTAAGATACTGTTTTTTTGTTGTTGGTTTTTTTAAAAATATAAGTATTTTTTACTCTACTACAATCAGAAAATCAAATATTTGTATAATTTATTACTAAATCACAAAAAATATTTGTAAAAAATATTAATATATATATATATATATATATATATATATATATATATATTAATTTTTAGAATTTTTATGATTAATATATATCTTTATATATATATATATATATATATATATATATATATATATATATATATATATATATATATATATATATATATATATATATATATATATATATATACATATATATATATATATATATATATATATATATATATATTAATTCTTAGAATTTTTTTTTACTTGCTTTATTATTACTTTGTTTTAAAAGCAAGCCACATTTATACATATTTTGTGATTATTAGAGTTCGCAGGCAGAGAAAAAATAAAAGTAGTATGATGCGGTTTTTCGTTTTATATTTAGTTCATATGGTTTAATAGAGTTGTTCGTTTTATCTTTAATTTACATTTAGTTAAGGTTTAACTCTTTCACTACCACAAGCCACTGGTAGCGGCTTTCGAGTATGCTTTACAATTTCTAGTAAATACATTTCCATTCTAGACACATAGAATTTGTTTGTTCTAAATGTTTAATAAATTCTCTACATAATCAAGAAAAAATAAGAGCTATATTGTGTAATTATAAAAAAGTTATCACAAAGTTAAAAAATCTTGAAAAATCCTTCATAAAAAAAAACTTTTAATTTAGTTATAAAATAAAACAGCGTTAACACTGTAAAACTTAACTTGTAGAAGTGTTATGTAATTACCAAATTATTTTGAAGAAAAAATATTATTTTTATTCATTAAATGAGGTTTGTTTCGGACTTAACGTTTTAATTAACTAGTTACTACTTATAAAAACAATAGTTTTAAGTACTTTGCATTTTTTTATTAATAAATGATGCGTGTTAAAAACTATTATTATCGAATTTTAAATAATTGTCAATGTTATGCTATTCAAATGTTATTCAAAAAAATGTACAGTTGCTACAAAAAGATTTTTGTTCGGCTGGTAGTGAACAATTTAATGTGACTCCTTGTTTTTATATTTATATTATAACTATTTTTTGTATATTTTAGTACAAATATTTGTCTTAATTTTAATTAAGACAAATATTCGATTTGAACGGTTATTAGTAAAATAATTTGTTTAATATTTATTTTCTACTTAGTTCAGTTTATATGTTTTATTCAAGTCACTCGTTTTTTATTCAGTTTATACTTTTAATTTATACGCTTTAGTAAAATTATTCTTTTAGTATCAAATTTATATTTAGTTTAAACCAGTACGTTTACTGTAAATATTTGCTATATATTAAATTTTTATTTTTATAAATTTTATAAATTTAATTCTTAATTTCATCTTAAACTTTTTTTGGGGATTTGATTTGGTGATTGTAGCAAAAAAAAAAACGACATCTTGAAAGAAAAAATTTAAACGACGATGTCATATACCGAAACTGTTTTGAATTAAACAAGCATGGTATAAATTATCAAGTCTGCAGATTGCAGCTAACATTATACAGACTCTGAGAATCAAAAAAAAAAATGGAGACGGTGAGCTTCGACTAAAACATGAATTTCAAATTTAATGGTGTTCATTTATTATATAGTTTTAATCAAAAAAATTAAGCCCTAGTTTTAAACCTTAAATATGACAAAAGTATTACAAAACATAATAAAAAGTTACCATAAATGGTTCAATTTTTTTTTCGCCCATGTTTCCCCACTATGGGATTAACTTTTTTATAGTGTCTTAATATTGTAGAAGGTTTCTCATTAAAAATATCTTGCGCAAAGTTGCGCCAATTAAAGTTTAGCAAGTTTTATACATACAACTGGTTTGTCATTTTTAATTCTTCAAAGCACATTGTTGTTAAGTATGAACTCTAAATAATTAGTTGCAATTACGGAAACTACAAAAAACATTAAATTATAATGCTATTCCACTTTATTAATTAACGTGGTTTTTTTATTTATGAACTTAAACTTATTTCAGCTAATGATCAATAATGTTTTTAATTATGTAAAATACAAAAGTTATGTAAAAAAAAATTAAAAACTTTAAAAAACTATAACTTGAAACTTTCTCAACTTTTAACTTGAAATTTTCTTCTACCAATCACTATGAAAAATAAAGAAATTACTCAAAAATTGTTTCATGCTTTGGAAAACATTTTAATCAAATCAGTTACCGAACCTGATGCTTATAAAGATACAGAGATTTCTGAAAAGTTTTACAAAAATGGAATAAAGTAACAAATACATGGATAGATTTGAGTTGCATTACAAAATCTGGTTAGAAAAAGAACTACAAAAAAGCGATGCATGTTTTGAAACAGATAAACTAGACAAGGTCCTAAACTCAGGCTTGACTTTTTCTACTTCTTCTCACAATTTAGGTATGATATTTTATAAAAATTAAAGTAATGGACTTATGATGTTTTTAACTGTTTAATTGTGTTTTAGCAAATGTTTATAGTAAATACAATTATCTGATATTTTAATATAAATTAGTTGTCTACCATTCACCCATACCATTTCCATTACCAATTCCATACCATTCATCGAAGCTTCTGAAAAAACAAAAAAAGAAGAAGAGAGCAGAAAAAATAAATATTGCTGTCGAAAGAGAGGAATTATTTTACTTACTTATTTTTAAACTAAAAAAATTAGAAAAGGTTCAGCGTTGCCAAGGTACATTAACCTCAATACTATAGTCAATTTAATTTATCTTATTTATCAAAAAAAAAAAAAAAATACTAAGGAGGATAGTTTTTCTTAGTGGATTGTATTCACCTCGCTCTTCAAATTTACATTTTTACACTTAAGGTTGTGAAGCAAATATTAAAATCAGAGAACGATGGTGCAGTTAATTCAACAACTATGTAAAATGAAGAGGAAGCATTAGCATTGATTTTGGACTGCCGACTTAGTAAAGCCAATTACCAAACAATTTGCATTGTTTGGTAAAGTTTTCTAGCAGTTTCTAAAGCAAACAAATTGTATCCAACTTATAATGAAGTAAGGAAAGAAAAAGATTTATTTTTATGCATACCTTGTTGTGGAATACAAACTACTGATTATTCAGCCTCAGTTGATTTATAAAGCCTTATTGAGCATACTACATACAGGTTATTAAAAATACTCAATCTGTAAAAGCTCCTGAGAAATCTATTCTTATCTTTATACACAAAGTAGGATTTGATGGTTCAACTGGTCAATCATTATACAAACAAAATACAGAAGACAAGATAAGTATCAGTTATGTCAAGGAACAATCTTTATTTTTATCCTGCATCGTTCCAATTAAATTTTATATTGAAAAATCTGGCGAATCACTATGCAATAATGAAAAACCATTGTCTACACTTTATTGCCGTCCTGTACAATTTCAATATGTAAAAGAAAGTGCTGAGGTTATTACGCAAGAATATATTTTCTTTAAGAACAATAACTTGAAACCAACGATCTTTAATTCTTTTGTTATCAAACATAAGTTAGAATGCACAATGGTTGATGGAAAAGTGGCTACTATAGTTTCATCTTTAAGTTATTCCTTTTAAGTATGTAGTGCTTGTGGACTGACCCCTTCAAATATAAACAATCTAAATGTTGCTTTTTCAAAAATCTATAATACAGTTTCTACTGAGATTAGGTTGAGCACATTACATGCATGGATTAGGTGCTTTGAATGCTGCCTTCATATAAGTTATAAAATTGAATTAGAGGAGAGGATGATAAAGAAATTGTTAAAAAAAAATAAATTATTGTTTAACAAAAGACGAAAGATTACTTTTTTGAATTAAACAAGATGAAAGATTACTTTTTTGAATTAAAAAAGACAATTAACAAAACAAACTTTTGTTAATTGTCTTTTTTTTTAATTTGAAGATTTATTTTTAAAATAAAATCTGGAAAGAAAAATTTAAAACTATATTAACAGTTTTTTTGCATTAATTCTTTTTCAGAGCCAATAACTTGTGAAGCTGGTTGGATCCCATGGGGTACTTCTTGTTATGGTATAATTACTGGTTTGCCAAAAACTTGGTCAGATGCTCGTGCAGACTGTTTAAGAAGATTTGGTGATCTAGTTATTGTTGAAACCTACAACGAACACAATTTTTTAGCAAATAGAATTTCTCGTACTGATGTAACTGTAAGTAAATTTTAACATTCAAATACTTGTATGATGCTGTCTGTCTGCCTATTTGTATGTATGTATGTATGTATGTATGTATGTATGTATGTATGTATGTATGTATGCATGTATGTATTATACTGTTCTATTTATATATTATGTATTGTATAATATATATTTATATATATATATATATATATATATATATATATATATATATATATATATATATATATATATATATATATATATATATATATATATATATATATATATATATATAAAATTGCCGACCTCCTTTCTATGTTTTATGGTAAGACTTTTGTATCAAATTTTTTTTGGTGACCTCATAAAGATTGAGGTCAGAAAATTATTGCTGAACTTATTTTTCTTAATTCCGAGGGTTGTTGTATATATATATATATATATATATATATATATATATATATACATACACACACACATATACACACACACACATACACACACACACACACACACACACACACACACACACACACACACACACACACACACACACACACACACACACACACACACACATATATATATATATATATATATATATATATATATATATATATATATATATATATATATATATATATATATATATACTTGTTAGGATGTTCCAGAAATCAATAGTAAAAAAAAAAGTTTGTTAAAACTTGTTTCCTGCCCTTTTTCCCATTCATTTATGCATGCAAATGAAATAGGCAATTTTTTGGTTGAATTTAAATACTGTAAGCTAAACCACCAGTGTGCCAAATGTAAACACGCAATTACAGTAATATTGGAAAAGTTTCATGTGCTACGGTAATTAATAAGTTACAAGTGTAAAAATGGCTGACATCTTGTTAATGCTTATGCGATTGAAAATGTTATAAATTTAAATTCACTAGATAATACTGTGTATTTGATTGCTAATTAGTTAATAACAGAAATGGATCTGTGTGCCAACTGTGTCATCACAACTGTGTCATCACAACTGTGTCATCACAACTGTGTCATCACAACTGTGTCATCACTCTGAGTAAGGATGAAAATATATGGCTGATAGGAAAGCCGTATTGGAATTACCAGCTTGCAGAGTCACCACAAATTTTGATGTTATTTGTATTAATTGTTCTTTTATTTGAAAGATAAAATTAAGCAAGAGAAGCAGTTGTAATATTGCTGTGGCAGACAAAGTTGTTGTTGAAGTTTAGCAGCAGTGGGCTAAAACCTGCTCTAAAATACAACGTAAAGACGAGGTAAAAGCAAAGATTTTTGATTTTTATGATAACTATAGGAAAGTTTCAAATATACTTTATTGAAATCGAATTATTGTATATCAAAATGCTTATATGAAAAAAAAATTACAAAGCTTCGACTCCTGATTCTATAGATTAGAGTATTTTTCTCAAGTTCTGATAATTCAAATAGGAAGTTATAACGAAGATCAAATTTAACTCTGCACATTCTATTGAACTTGAGAGTTTTGATACAAGACAACATTGTTTTGATATCAAAAACTTAAAAAAAAGCATTTATTAAAAGTTGTTTCTAAACTATGAATTAACAGTCTTAGTTTAAATTTCTGGCTCCAATAAACCCCCTTTACACATCCGATACTCCTCCGTTACACCTCTACTTTGTACAAAAAAAATGAATGATCTTAAATTCCTGAGTGCTCTTCAATCTCAAAAAAAGGTGTATCTGGGTGCAAAAGGCAAGATCTACACAAGAAAAGTAGAGTGTAAAGTGAAGAGAACTAAGGTTTTCTTGAGGAAGAAAATGGATCAATAACAAAGCAAGCAAAACCTGTTTTCAACCATTGGTGAATCCTTAGGTCAACAGCCAGAAAATATAAAAGTACTGATAGCAGTTCTGTTGATTTACCGGATTACAAGGAGTTTATATGTCATGTAAAAGAGAAGAGTTTGATAAGTGTGGCAAAAAAGAAAGACATGGTAACATGGTAATATCAGAGGGTGGCGTTGGTTTGAAGTGATACTGTCAAAGTCAAGTACCAAAAGAGCAGGGAAGAAATTCGAACAAAAACAACTCTTTATATAAAATCATCATATACTGCACCCAAGTGCGTCAAACTTCACCAAATTGTACCTGGAGACAATGAGAGACTTTTTCTCATAGCAGGACTAGCAGCACACAGAGAAAAAAAACTGTATAATGTTCCTGTCATAGGTGATAATAGTGGGACAACACAGGTAACGGTTACCCATGTTGTAATACAATAATGAAGTGTTGTAATACAATAATGAAGTGTTGTAATACAATAATGAAGTGTTGTAATACAATAATGAAGTATTGTAATACAATAATGAAGTGTTGTAATACAATAATGAAGTGTTGTAATACAATAATGAAGTGTTGTAATACAATAATGAAGTGTTGAAATACAATAATGAAGTGTTGAAATTGCCATTGTAGGTCTAGTTTGACACAACTACTTTTAATTCTGGTAGAAAAATAGGGCCTGTTTAGTTTGGAGACATAACTAGAAAAAAAGGTATTCTACTTTGTTTTTCAACACTACAGTGGAGAAAATAGAATTAGCCTCACCATATACTGATCCAATATTTTGTAAATCTGTAAGCAAACTTGTGCAGTGCATCTTTTGTATCCATGCATATATAAGTAATGTTGCAAACAACAACTTTTTAGATTATAATATAGCATAATTAAATTGTGGTACATTTGATAAAACCATAAAATGTATAATACTTGATATTTGCAGTAACTACTAGAATTAATCTCATCAATAATTATTTGCAGTTTACTTGTATATTTTGATCTGGTGATACTCATTTGTGACTTTGTTTTTATTATTATTTGTAATTTAAATAAAGACTGTGAAATCAGTGCTCATAAAGTTTTTAACACTTGGTTTTTGATACCTTAATTTGAAATGGAATGTGGTAAGCGTTTAACAAATTAAGAATTAGGAGTAATCAAAGCATACATAGATATAGGCTTGCCTAATCAGGAAATTGCAAAGAAAATTAAAAGATCTCTAAAAGTGGTTAATAATTACTTCAAGATTGGCGTTATTTATGTAATCTGGCATTGATTTCAACAAAAATGAATTCTCAGGACTACATTGACTTATTAGAAATAAGTTTGCTAGAACTTGGTGAGGAAAAATTGATGAGAAAAACTTTTCAACAAGACAATGCTGCTATCTATAATTCAAAGCTTACAAAAGCTTGGTTTAGAGAAAAAAGTATTCATATAATGGAATGGCCAGCATGCACTCTTGATCTTAAACCAATTGAAAATCTATGGAAAATACTTTCTAGTAAGATTTATAAAATTACTAGGCAATTTCCATTTAGGAGCTGAAAACTCGTATCAGAGAAGCCTGGAATAAAATTTCTATAGAAACTATCCAAAATCTTGTGACAAGTATGTCAAGTCACATATTTAAAGTCATTAAAAATTCAAGAAACAAAATATTAAATGAACGTAAAAACAAAATATTTTCTATATTTTTTTGTATATAATGTAAATGAGGCTAATTCTATTTTCTCTACAAATTAAATACTTTTTTTTTTTTTTTTCCATTTGTAATTAATTAAACATACCAATTTATAAACTTTTCAATTGTAGTAGAAGATAATAAGAAATAAAGTAGATTTGATAATTGTTTCACTGCCATTGTTGTTAAATTAGAACAAAAAATAAAAGTGAGGCTAATTCTATTTTTTCCGCTGTATATATTAAAAAGAAGTTTGACAAAAATTAGTTGGTACATCATCCAGCCCAGATACAACAGAATTTAAGAATTTTCAGCAGCAATGGGACTCATTTGTGATTTATCGACTTACAAAATCTTTGTAAGTTTACAAAATCTGATGATGCATCAGAAGGTGCAAACTGATGCTGATACTTCTAGCAAAAAAACCACCTCATGGTATACACTGGTTACAGCCTGGAGAATTTAGTCACACCCAATAGATGACAACCATCATTAAGTACAATACAAAGGTGTACACTTTCGGTGTAAATAAAGACATGGCTTTGAATAAAGACATGTCTTGCAGATGCATTAATGAATGAACTCAATTGGTATAAAACCTTTGATCCAGCCCTGACACAAACAACTATGACAGCAACTAGCAGACATCTGTGCTATCTCACTGAAGAGAGTCTAAAGAAAAGTGCAAACTCTGTTTGCACTTTTCTTTACATTCTTGTCAGACTCCAAAAAGAAGCAAGTCATTCAGCAACTTCTAAAGCTTTAATACAATGCCACTAGCTGTCTTCAAAAGGAAGCGCAGGCTTTCACAGGAAGACGTGCGATTTCATGTCTTTATATGACCACGCAAAAAAAAATGTTTTAACGATTTGACCATGGCATATTTTTAAAATTCAAAAACGCACTACAAAAACTTACCTAAACTTATCTGAAAAAAAAATTAAGAAAATAATAAATATTCATGAAATAGAAAATAAATAAAAATACTTAGTTAAAGCAAAAACACAAAAAAATAAATATATATATATATATATAACGCAACTAAAACAAAACTCATCAAACTAAAATGCTTAGTCTAATTAATTTACGCATTAAAAAACCTTTTCAATCTTTGTTTCAACATTTTTATATATTTTTTATTTGTATATAAAAGCGTTTTGATAATATAAAAGCATTTAAGATCAAACTTATTAAATTGTAACGGTTTTCTAAAACGAAATTTTGTTTATCTTTTTAAATGCATTAACTTTAATCATTCTTATATTTAAATTCGTTAAAGAGATTTTCGTAGTCGTAGAATGTCATCGTTTATAAAAACAAAACAATTTTTTATTTTTTAATAAGATTTATTTTAGAAATGAACACTTAAACAATTTATATGTTTTAAATTAAAAATATATATACAACTGTCAATTATATTTAAAAAACAAAACTTTTTTTCAGTAAATTGCTACTTTATTTAAAATTATTTCGCTAATATAAAAACATTTGTTAAGAAGTTTTGATGTAATTAATT